AGGGGGGTGCCCTAATAAAAGCTCCTCTCTTGTTTGATCGATCTCACCCAAGATGGCCCAAAAATGGCCCCCAAGGCTCCCAAGGGTGCCCCAAGAGGGCCCAAAGAGGTGGCCAGGAAGCCCCAAGAGGCCCCCAGCCAGGAGGCCCCCAGGATGCCCCCAAGAGGCTCCCAAGAGACCTCCAAGAGACCTCCAAGAGGCCCCAAGAGGCCCCCCAGAGGCACCCAAGAGGCTCCAAGAGGCCTCGGCGACAATGCCAACATCTTTGATTTTACAAAGGTTTTGGCCACATGTTGGCCTCCTGGGGGGGGCACTGCTTCAGATGACTCCAAGAGCGCCTGGGAGAGCCAAAGATGATCTCCAAGATGGCTCAAGATATCCCAAGATACCTCAAGACGGCGCCAACGATACTCCAAGAGGCCCCAAGACCCAAGACCGCTCCAAGACGGCTCCGAGTGGCCAAAGAGCTCCCCCAGGAGGCCCCGAAGAGGCCAACATCCTTCCAAAACCTTAGGGACATCCATGTTTTTGGCTTTCTCGCCGAGGCCTCAAGATGGTTCCAAGATGGCCCAAGAGGGCTCCAAGAGCGCTCCCAAAGCTCCCAAGAGCGCTTCAAGAGGGCCCCAAGAGGCGTCCAGGAGGCCCCAGGAGGCCCCAACAGGCGCCCAAGAGGCCTCCAAGAGGCTCCCAAGAGACCCCCAAGAGGCCCCAAGAAGCTCTGCGAGGCACCCAAGACGCTCTAAGAGGCGTCCGGGACCGCCGAGAGGCCCCCAAGACGCTCCAAGAAGCCTCCACTGGGGGACCCTTCCTCTGTGTGCTGCCCGCTTCCCTGATCGAAGCATTTCCTCTGGGCATCGTTTCTGGATGGGCTGGCGGGGGTACTTTTTTGGTCGCGGCCGCGAGCGAAGAGCACACGCGGCGAAAGCAAATGTCCGGGGCAGCGAACAAGGCTGATTAGCTACAAGACGCGCCGCAAGCCGGCCGGCCCACTCACCAAGCAGCCGCGGGGCTGTGCGGGAAGCTGTCGGCTGGGGGCATCCTGGGAAACTCGGGCACGTGCAGTCTGACAAAATGCCGAGAAATTCGGTGCATGCCGTGAGGCATAACCCACACAACTGGTGGGGTTACTTTTTTTTGGTTAGCAGCTCCATGGCGACGGCCAGGGAGCGGGAGCGACGTCCGGGGCGGCGGAACGGTGCGAATTTGCGAGCACGGCAACTGGTGGGGTTACTTGTTGTTCGGCGGCTCCAAGGAAAAGCCCAGGGAGCGGTCACAACGTACTGGTGGGGTTACGCGAAGCGTCTAGAATTTGACCCCCGCCCCTGGCCCAGCGCGACCCCAGTCCGAACGCGTCACGGGGGATCGGAGGGCTCCAAAACTTCCCAAAAAGGCACCAAAACGCTCCCCAGACGGTCCCAGGGGGGCCACGATTCGCCGACACATCGCCCCTGCACGCCCACGATAGCCTCCAGGCGGCCTCCTAAGCTGCCAAGACGCCCCAAAAGGCCCCCAAGATGCGCCCCAAGAGGGTTCCAAGATAGAACCATCGTACCATCCCCTTCGAAAAACAAGCATTCGTAACGTGCTCGCCGATTCGGTTTTCACAACGTCCCGGACGGGCGAAGAGAACTGCATGATCGCCCCCAGACGGCCAAAGGGGCCCCCAAGAAGGGTCGAAGAGGGTCCAACAACAGCCCACGAAGCTCCAAAGACAGCCCAATCGGGGATGGACAGAACCCCCTTTAGTACAACGTGGTTTAGTGAAAACGACCTGAGGCCCAAACCTGGCGGGCGCAAGCCTGGAAAATAACGGCCGCGGCGCCATCTCGAGAACCGAAAACGGACAATTCACTAATCGACGTGTCACTGTTGGGGGTTCTGTCCGCCCCCGACCCAAGAGGACCCCCAGACGGCTCCAAGACGGAGTCCGGAGGGCACCTTTTCTCGAGCCTTCGGCCCCAAGACGCCCCCACCCTGCCCTAAAGAGCAACCCAAGAGGCCCTGAGGGGCCCCCAAGAGAACCTCAGAGGCCTCCAAGAAGCCCCCAGGAAGCCCCCAAGAGGCCCCAAAACTAACTACCTACCAAACCACCCCAACCCAACCCGAAGACCCGAATTTCGGGTTGGGGGGGGTACGAGCTTCATGTGTGTTTTCTCAACGTTCCCCGCCCCCCCCCAACTGGAAATGGAGGGCAAATTGGAGCCTTCGGGTTGGGTTGGGGTGGTTTGGTGGGCGGTGAAAAACTTGGCCCTGGATGCCTCGAGGCAGCCGGATATGGCCTGCAGACAGGCCAAGATGCCACTCAAAGGCCACGAAAGAGCACCGAGAGGTACGATAACAGCAACGAAGCAACAGGAACGATGTCGAGCGCCGCGTCATGATTCGGACAAGCCTCGTGAAATGCAGTCCCGGAGGCGCAATAGTTTATATAGGGGTCGGCGGATGTGGCGTAAGCCTGTAGAATCGATGTGCTCGTCCAGACCTTGGGACAGGCTCCAGTTCACGACGAGCTGCCCTTCGCCATGCTCGCCCCAGCTGAGGCCGTCGGACTCGGCCAGGAAGCGCTGTGCGTGTTGCTGTGTCGTGAGATCCGCCGCCAACTGTTGATTCATCACAGGGGTGCCTGGCGTGCTGAATCCTCTCGGTTTTGGTTTTGATTCTTTTTCCAAAAGAACTCCCCCTGGGGCTCCGGCACGTCCCGCCGGCCACCCGGAAACTGCATCAGTCAATGCCTGAAACGGCCGTGTCGCTCGGGACATCATCAAAAAATCGCGAAGATGGCCCAAGATGGCCTCCAAGACGGCCCAAGAGAGTCCAAGAGGGCCCAAGACGGCCCAAGGGGCCCCCCCGAGGCCTCCCAGACGGCCCAAGAGGCCTCCAAGAGGTCCTCCAGGAGGGCCCGAAGAGACCGAAATCATTGATTTCCCATTGGTTTTGGACGGATTTTGGAATTTGCTTCTTCTCGGCATTCCGACGGCTCAAGACGGCCCAAGAGGCCCCCAAGATCGCCCAAGAGGCCCCGAAGAGGGCACCATGACGGCCCACGTGGCCTCCAAGACGGCCCCAAGAGGGCGCCATGATGGTCCCAAGAGGCCATCCAACACGGCCAAGCATTGCCTCCAAGACGCCCAAGATGGCCTCCAGGGACGGCACGAAGCGCCCCAAGAGGGCCCCAGTCAGCCCAGAGAAAGGCCTTCCCAAACGGCTCCCGGACGGCGTCAGGACGTGCCAGGAACCCACCAAGATGGCCGAAGTTGGCTCGAAGCTGGCCCAAGACGGCCCAAGAGGCCCCCAAGAGGGCCTCCAGGAAGGCCAGAAAACGCAAAAAAACTTTGTTTTTCCGCAGGTGTTCGAAGGATTTTGACATTTCCTTCTTTTCGGCCTTCCGACGGCCCGAGACGGCCCAAGAGCCCCCAAAGATCGCCGAAAGATCGCCCAAGCGGCCTCCAAGATGGCCCCAGAACGGCCCAAGAGGGCCCCAAGACAGCCCCAAGAGGCCCCCAAGACGGCACAGGAGGCCTTTAAGACGGCCAAGATGGCCTCCAAGACGGCCCTGGAGCAGTCCAAGAGGGCCCCAAGTCAGCCCATAGAGGCCCCCCAAACTGCTTCCGACGGCGTCAGACGGACCAGGAGCCCACCAAGACGGCCGAACATGGCCCTAAGATGGCCCAAGACGGCCCAAGAGGCCTCCAAGAGGGCCTCCAGGAAGGCCCGAAAAGGCCAAAATCATTGATGTCCCAAGAGTTCTTAAAGGATTGTTGCATTTGCTTGTTTTTCGGCCTTCCGACGGCCCGAGTGCCCCCAAAGATCGCCCAAGAGACCCAAGACACGGCCCCATGAGGCCCCCAAGACAGCCAAAGAGGTCTCCAAGACGCTCAAGATGGCCTCCAAGACAGTCCAAGAGCCCTCCAAGACGTCCTCCAAGAAGGCCCGAAAGGGTCAAAATGGCCTCCAGACGGCCAAGATGACCTTCAAGATGCCCACGTGTTCCCCGAAGGCTTTCCAAACCGATTCGGGGAACACATGGTCCGATAGCTTGGCAGGTCTGGCCTCAACGTTCGGCCACATAGGCGCTTCCAAAAAGGCAAGGGGCGGCGGTGATTCGCCGTAGGCGTCTTCGATTCACGAAGGCGTATCCGAAATTCTGCAGTTTCGCGAAGTTGATCGGCAAATAGAGAAAGTCGTACTGGGCCGCAAAGCCCCACGAGTCGAGGCGTTGCAGGAGCTGGTCACGCGTGACGTGGATGGGGACATTCCTGATTACCACCGTCGTCTTTGGCTCATGGCCCCCATGGGCTTCCACTTCTTTCGCCTGCTTGGCCACGTCAGGGGAGCCATCTAAGCGCTCGACCTCCCTCTCCTGCCTGCTCCAGGAAGGTTCGTCACTCCGGGTCGACGCGGCTGGCGCAGAGAACGCCCTCTTCACGGGCTTCTCCACGGACTGGCTGCTGTCCTCCTCGACGACTTCGATGAAGGTGCCCTTCACGACAATGCGCATCCCAGTGCGCGGGAATCGAAGATGCGCTGGCATCTGCATGGCGCGGGATGCGAGAGAGTGGTTTGGAAGATGCCGCACACAAGAGCCTGGGTGAGAGACAGAAGCGGGTTCGGCCTCAAATCACGAGTACTTGGGCCACAATGACTACGGAGGTGGGATTCGGACAGCTTCAGCCTCGGCTGGGAGATCGTGGCAACTCGGGGTCTCTTGAACCATATGGGGGCTGCTGGCCAAGGTTCTGCTGAAGACTCCGAGAGAGAGAGAGGCCCTCGAGAAAGCCCCAAGGAGGAGAGAGACAGAAAGAGCGAGAGAGAGAGAGAGAGCAAGAGAGAGAGAGAGAGAGCTCCCGAAGAAGTTCCAAGTAGGCCACAGGAGGCCCCAGCAGAGACCTCCCAAGAAAGATCCCTAGAGGCCTTTACGACGCCACGATCTCCACCCCCTGGCCGGAGCTCGTGGCGGCGCGGGGCTCTCCCGAGGCCGCCGGGGGCCCCCCGGGTCGGGGAGTCGGGGAGTCGGGGGGTCGGGGGGTCGGGCATTCGGAAATCGGGGAGTCGGCCTTTGGGGGGTTGGGAAGTCAAGGGGGTCGAGGGGTCGTGGAGTCGGGGAGTCGGCCATTGGGGGGTTGGGAAGTCAAGGGGGTCGAGGGGTCGAGGAATCGGGGAGTCGGCCATTGGGGGGTTAGGATGTCAAAGGGGTCGAGGGGTCGAGGAGTCGGGGAGGCAGACCGGTGGGCAGTTTGCCAATCGGCCAGTCGGCCCGTCAGCCAATCGGCCAATCGGGGAGTCGGCCAGTTGGGGGACCGGCCAGCCGGCCAGGCGGCCGATCGGCCATGCGGGAAATCAGGGAATTGGCCGGTCGGGGAAACGGCCTATCGAGGAGTCGTCCGGTCGGCCAATCGGCCAGTCGGCCAAACAACCAAGCGGCCAGTCGTACAGTCGGCCAATCGGGAAGTCGGCCAGCTGGGGAGTCGGCCACTCGGCCAATCGGCCAGTCGGCCAATCGGCCGGTCGGCTAATCGGCCCATCGGCCAGTCGGCCAGTCGGCCAATCGGCCAATCGGCCCGTCGGCCCGTCGGCCAGTCGGCCAGTCGGCCAATCGGCCCGTCGGCCAGTCGACCAGTCGGCCCAATCGGCCAAACAACCGGTCGGCCTCTCGTTCAGCCGGCCATTCGACCAATCGGCCACTCGGCCAATCGGCACCATGGCCAATCGGGCAGTCGGCCACTCGGCACTTTGGCCAATCGGTCAGTCGGCCAGCCGGCCAATCGGCTGGTCGGCCAAACGGCCAATCGGCCAATCGGCCAGTCGGCCAATCTGGGACATCGGCATGTCGGGGAGTCGGCCCGTTGCCCTTTCGGCCGGTCGGCCAGACGGCCAATCGGCCAGCCCGCCAGTCGGCCAATCTGCCAGTCGGCCAATCGGCCAGTAGGTCAGTCGGCCAGTCGCCCAATCGGCCAAGCGGCAAATCGGACAATCGGCCAGTCGGCCAATCGAGGACGCGGCCAGTCGGCCGAGGGTCTGTCGACAAACGCATATCGCTCGCATCATTGCTCGGCCCGTGAGAAGACGCCCCTCTATCTGGCACGACTGCTCCATGCGAACTATTTGTGGAAAGAAACGAGCATGGTGTACTGACAGACGTTGGTCACGCTTCATCTTGGCAAATTTCCCAAACAGACTCGTAGCAATCATCATAGCAAGACGCATCGATGCCCCGGAATCTCTATGGTTTTCAGTCGGCACATCGGGTTCCATGTTTCAGTAAACCATGTCTGCGCCGCTTGAACATCATGCCAGGATCCAGCTACCTCCCACATGCAATGTTGTTTCCGTTCTCTGGGTGTCTGGACGCTCGGCATGCCAAGCAGGTTTAGTTCTCTGTTGTTTCCAAAACCCCTCCAAGTCGCATCCATTTGATTGGCGCGAGACGGCCGCCAGCTTGGGCCACCGTTGCCATTCGGCCCCCCGCCGCCGCCCCCACCTGGATCACGGCCCCCGCCAGGCCCCCCTGGAGGGCCTTTCGGTGGCTTTGGCTCACTCGCTTCGTCAAACTGTAGCGCGACTATCATGCCAGCGCTGGGGGCTGTACTCTGACCGTCTCTCTGATCACCATCGCGCCCTCCCAGGTCTTTACCTCCTTCACCAGCGACGGCTGGGCCGATGGCGAAAGGAAGGTGCCCAGGCACGTCGATATTGCCAAGGGGCTCTGATATCTTGGCAGCGAAAGGGACAGTCCCAAAATTCGCCCCTCGGGCGCACCCCCGCGTCGAACCTTTGCTCGCCCCAAGAGACCCCTCGACGACTGGCCCAGGAATGAAATGTGATTTCGCGAGAGGAGTCGTCGATGCAGATAGAGCGGTCAGAATTGTCATCTCTCCAAAATCCGACTTTCCTGATGTGAATACTGGCATGCCCCTAATAGCAGCAAGATTGCTCGTCTTGCGCTCGGGCCCAACATCCTCGGGCAGAGCCGGGCGTCCCGGTGTCATCTTATCGGGATCGTCGTTGGCCCGCTGAATATCAGGTATGCCTCGAGATTCTCCCCTTTTCCCATGGTCACCCTGTCGCCCAGACTCTTTCTTCCATGCGCACCCATCGCACCGCTTGGTGCCCGTATCCAGATGATCCCTACATGCGCGCTTCAAACAGCCCTTGCATACCTCGATCTAAGGTTCGATTGCCTGCTCGCGTTTGAGGTTGCGCGACGCGAAGCCTCTGAATGGGGCGCTTCTGCCGGCAAGGCCGCAACCCTGGACCGTACTTTTGCCGCAAATTCGGCCACGGGTTGCCCGGTTAGCGGAACCTAATCCCGTGATTCTTTGTCCATCCGATGATGCTCCAGGCCCGATCTCAACCTCTTGTTTCCCTCACTCACGGCCCGAGTGGCAAGAACATTGTTTCTTATCTGATCATCTGCATTCCCTTTCAAACGATCCCAGGCAACGGCTATCCTCTGTTGGCCCTCATCTCTGATTACCAAGGCTCTTTGCTCTTGTTCACGGAGAGCTCGCAGGGCTTCCGATTTTACTCTTTCGGCCTCGGGTCTAGCAGATTCAAGTTGATTGCGGAACTCCGGATTTTCGCACGCTGCTTGTTCTCGGGCTCCTTTCTCTCCTTTCCTTCTGGCTGCATCAACCATTTCTCTGTATTCAGCTTTCTCCCTCTCAGCCCTCTGCTGAGATTATGACACTATTTGTTCGGCTATACTGTGGATTCTCAATATGTCATTCTCCTCTTGGGCCAAGCGCCGACGGGCCTTGTCTGCAAGTCCTGCTATACTGGCCTCAGCATGCTGCATCCGTATCTGCGCATTCTCTGCAATGACAGCTTCTCAGATTCCACCATGTGTGACATTGCCTGCCTCTCTGCTTCAGAAACTGCAAGCATGCGTTTAGCCTCGTCAGCGGCCTTCTTATCTACTTGCGCCTCAATGGTGATTTGTTGAATTTGTGCTCCCGCAGCCCTCAACTGTTCTCGAACCTGTCTGTTCCTTTCCGCCCAGTCTAGAACGGCGATATGATGGCAATTGCGCTGTTCCATCGTAATACATTCCGTACACAGCCATGCTAGGCTGCACTTGGGACAAACATTCGAACATTTGAACACACTGGCCTCCGACATGAATGCCCCGGTTTGCGCGCCTTCCCTGGGCATCGATTCTGCGCCTGACTTGGGCATGTGGGCCCGGCTCCCCAACAACCTCGAGGTATTGAGAAGCTGCTGGTGGCTCTATTCGATGACAGCCGTGGTGATCCAAAGGCGTCGCAAGCCCCAGAACTAGAACGTCCGGCCCTGGGGGCCTTACTGGAACGTCCCCGTGCGCTGCTGGAGGAAAGCATGTGTTGTTCTCTTGTTCTCACACCTCTATTGATGAACTCGACGCCGCGATTCTGTGCTAATTCGTATCGCGCGTCTTGCATTATAACCTCATCAAATTCTGGTACTTTATCCTCGCTAGCCCTCGGCAACGAGAAGTCGGGTCGGTGGAAGCCTTACAATAGAGGCGAATAAATTAAACCATCGTCCTCACCCTTCGGCGTCTTTATCATTGGATGGGGAATCATGCCGGTAGATTCTCGTGTACTCCTTATTGTGCGCACGACATCGGGGGAACCCAACATCCGCTGTACCGGCGAGCATCCACCTCGATCTGGGTTTCCCTCATATTCGAGATCGTCATCCGAATCAAGAATTGTCTTCTGGACTGCCTCAATCGTTACATGGTCAAGTGACGCGCTCGCTGACGGAACTTCGCCTGAGGCGAGCCCGACACACCCGTCGGACAGAGGATCGGCATGACACGATGGACCAGGCGAGGTGCGGAATCGAGCATATTCTTCGTTCTTTTCGATCGAATGAGAACTTTCCCCTTCCGATTGCAGATCGCTCACATCCTCGCCCTGACCATGCAATGCGAGCTGCGCTGCGCGTTCTGATCCAACAGTTTCTCAATCTCGAGATCAAAAACAATAGAAGGCTGAAAGCCCGGATGCATCGGTACCAGCTCAGATTGCCCGTCGGTGGAAGTTTTGGCTGTGCCATACCTATACGACCACCCGTCGGGTGATAACGAGGTTCGGGTGGGGAACCAACGTCTCACTCGATCGGTCACACTATCGATATCACTATCGACATCACCATCGGTCTCGCTCGATCGATCTCATTCGATCGATTCCCACAATCGATATCATTCGATATATTCGATTTCACAATCGGTTTGACGATCGATCTCACAATCGATATCACCATCGATATCACGATCGATAGCACAATCGATCCCACATTCGGCCTCACAATCGATTTCAGTATCGCAATGGATAACACAATCAAGGTCATCATCATCATCATCATCATCAACATCACCGTCATCAACGTAATCAACATCATCATCGGGACACCATCAGCATCATCACCACTACCTCATCACCGTCATCATCATCGGGACACCATCATTGTCACCATCATCATCATCATCACCCACAGCATCACCATTGGGACATCAGTATCATCATCATCATCATCGGAACACCACCATCCCCATCAGCATCTCAACATCATCATCATGAACCGCATCATCAACATCAGCATCATCATCATCATCGGGGCACCACCATCATCTTCACCGGCATCATCATCAACAGCAGCATCATCATCAACATCGGGACACCACCATCGTCGTCACCATAGTCATCATCACCAGCATCATCATCGGGACACCATCATCCTCATCAGCAGCATCATGGTCATCGGGCCACCATCATCAAAATCATCAGCCCCACATCATCATCCTCATCATCAACATCATCATTATCGGGACACCATCATCGTCATCATGATCTTGAACATCATCATCATCGGAACACCATCATCATGTTCATTAAGAGCCTCATCATCAACCTGATCATCATCATCATCATCATCATCATCATCATCATCATCATCGGGACACCAACATCATCGTCTTCAAAATCGTCTCCTTATCTCATCATCATCGTCAACATCAGGGTCATCAACATCACATTCATCGGGACATCACGGTCATCAGCAACAGCATCACCAACATGATCACCATCGGGACACCATCATCAGCACCACCACCACCATCACCAACAACATTGTCAACATCATCATCACCATCATCATCGGGACACCATCCTCATCACCACTATCACGATCGTCATCATCATCGTCATCAACATCATCGACATCATCATCACCATCATCATCATCATCATCATCATCATCATCATCATCATCATCATCATCATCGGGACACCGACGGGACATCGGCGGGACACTGGCGGGACACCGCGGGCCACCGGCCCGCGAAAAAAAAAAAATTGGTCCGGCAGCGCCTCAGCCGGAGACGGGACACGGGCGGGACACCGCGGGCCACCGGCCCCCGGAAAGGAATCATTTGGTCCGGCCGCGCCTCAGCAGGAGGAGACCTTCTTCTCGCCCTCCCACGCAGCTTCGCCTCGCCCGCACGCACGGCACGCACGAACACGAAGCCGAAACCGATTTCCCGGTAGGGGGCTCTCCGTTCCACTTCCATCTCACCCCCTAACCTCCGACCTTCCGCCCGAGGCCTGTTCTCTGGATCTTGTCGCCGAAACAACAGAGGAGCCCCCTTCTGTCAAGTCGACAACAGGCTCTGATGCTTGCTTTCTGGGAATGCTGAAAGAATTGGATCGCCTCTTAAAGGCCTCTACATTTTCATTACGATAGAAGGATATTGATTTTCTGTTCGTCCGAGCGATCCTTCTTGTGACCCCATGCTCCGCGAAGCTAACGGCTGTGCCGTCGCTTCGGTTAATAAACAATCTTTCCTGGATATTCATAATCCCTGCAAGAGGTTTCGTTGATGTCTAATGGTCAATGGGCTCCGCCGATGACATGGGGAAGAAGGGATAATGCCGTCAAACTCACAATAGGATAGCACTGAAGGGAGGAGGCCGGCCCGCCGGCCGACGCATGCGCGCGCGCCGCAGGCACGCTCCTTTTCCGCTAACCTTGAGTGCACGTATATAGGCAGTCAGTTCAGGCAGTGCGCGCAAGGCAAAGGAGCAGGAAGGGCTAAAGGATGGTGGTGCGGAAGGGGTGCATTGACTGTAAGACCATCCCACTCACTTTGTAGAGTGCGGTTACTTTCCCGTGGGGATGCGCATACAATAACATTCAACGTATTTTGCATAAGGGCGTTTTTTTTCCCCATGGACCCGCACATCTTGTAAGAGGCCCCGGGATGCTTCAAAACCATCCCACTTGTTTTGTATCGCTGCGTGCATTCTAATGGGCTGGGCGCGCATCTCTTTTAAACGACGGCCCTGAAATGCTTCAAGGCCATCCCATTTAGTTTGTACTGTGGCGTTCTCCCACGGCTGCGTATCCAAAACCATCCCATGTACGTTGTATAGCGGCATCTTTCCCATGGGCGCGCATATGTTCTAGACGGCCGAGGGATGCTTCAAGACCATCCCACTCATTGTGTATAGTGTTTTGTGTAGTGTTGAGTGTTTTCCCATGGGGAGGCGCATCAAAAAACATCCCTCTACTTTGCATAGTGGTGTTTTCCCCATGAGGTGCGTATTCCAAACCATGTTACTTCTGTTGTGTAGCGACGTCTTTCCCATGGGCGCGAATATTTTGTAGACGGTCCTGGGATGCTTCAAAACCATTCCACTGATGTTGTATAGTGGAGCGTTTCCATGAGCCCGCATGTCTTGTAGACAGCCCTGGGATACTTCAAAACCATCCCACGTATTTTGTATGATGGCGGGTTTCCCGTGAGAGGTGCGTCCGAAACCATCCCACTTATCTTGCATAATGGCGTGTTGATCAGATCACCCGTCTGGCCGTTCTAACACGCGTGCCGCATGAACCCGCTTGTCCGCATTAATCCGCCTGACCGTTTTAACCCGCCTGGTCGTTTCGACCGCCTGATCGCGCTGACATCCTCGGCCGCTTTGACCCGCCTGGCCGTTTTTTACCACCTGTCCGTTTTAGCCCGCCTGACCGTTTTAACCCGCCTGACCATTGAGACTGGTCTGGCCGTTTTAACCCGCCTGGTCGTTTGAACCGGCCTGTTAATGTTAATGCGGCTGGCCGTTTCCAACCGACATGACCCGCCTGGCCGCGTAACCTGCCTGGCCAGCATCGCGTGCTGTATTGGAGCAATTCCAAGATGTCGTCGAAGAACTGTCATTCTTGTGAGGAAATCCCTGGTGAAATCTCAATTTGGGACAAGAGCGACACCAATACGACGTCGACAACATCTCGCTGTGTGAGGATGTCCCTAGCGAAATCGCCATGCTGGGCAAGACCGAGACCAAGACAGAGTCGACGACATCTCATTCGTCCGAGGATGTCCGTAGCGAAAACGGCATTTGGGGCAAGAGCGATGTCAACAGCATCTCATTTGTGCGGGGATGTCCCTGGCGAAATCGCTATTTTGACCAAGACCGACACGAAGATGACGTCGACAACATCTCATTCGCGTGAGGATGTCCCTGGAGAGATCGCCATGTTGTGCAAGAGCGATGTCGACAACATCTCATGTTCTTAGGCAAGTCGTCAATTGGAGGGAAGGAAGTAGGGCGTATCTTGTTGGGCTATGTTGGGCCGTTTTGAAGCCTTCCAAAAGCGATCCCAAGAAATCGCAACTCTTTGAGGATGTCCCAAGCGGAATCCCAATTCTGGCCATTCGAATACTGCGAATATACATGCCAACCTCCTCAAACTCCTCTTAGGTAAGTTTCTTCCGACTGGTGGATCGCACGCTAACCACGCTTTCGGTCACCTGCCAATCCCCTCAAACTCCCCAATTGTTCAAGTTCTCCCGTCTAACGGATCGCCCGCTCTGCGCGCTTTCCGTTATACAGCTATCGCGCGAACACAGGGAGCGCAAAGCAAGGCACGAGTGGACGCGTTTTTTTCTGGCCACGCCTGGGCCACAACAGGCTCCACGACGAAAATCTAAGGACTGGCCCGGAAAGCCGAGCCCCTCCTGAGCCCAAAGCGATCCTCATGTCAGCGTCTTGACTCTATGTCTGACCCCGCCTTTCCGCCCCGAGCGCCGAGGCTGCTGCCAGCGCGGCCCCGGCGCCAGCGACGACCGGCTCCGCCAGGTCGGCGGCCAGCTGGGCGTCCTCCGACGCCAGGTCGTCGGCTGCCAGCCCCTGCGGCTGGCTCCCCGGCTCGGTCTGGGCCGGGCCGTCCTGCTCGGCGGGGAGGGGGGAGCCCAAAAAAGCCCGCGTCGTGAGCAGGGCTCGACGGAAAGTGGTTCGCCGTGTTCGGCCTCTGGAGCCCTTGCCGAGCCCGCGGGACGTCAAGAAACGACCCAGAGTGGAAAACTGGCAGTGGGGGAGGGATCGTGGCTTCCGGGGGCCGCGCATTGAAAAGATCAAGACGTCGCATGTCTGAGGAGTTGCCGTCCCTCGACCACTCGAGCGGCACGGCCTGCTTGCATAGGGTGTCGTCGGTCGCGCCTACGAAATGTGCCCAAGTGGGTATCATTCAAGGAGCGTGGCCAGCCACCATGCACATGGGTGGACAGGGAGCGGGGGGATACGTCCAAGCCGTATGCGACAAAAAAACTAAGAATGATTTGGGAACCGCCACTGATCTCCTCCCTCTTCGTCCTCCCCCTGCGCGCCCTTGACGAGCGCGACGCCCATGAACAAGGGACGCAACGGCGTTTCTATGGAAGGTTCGCGGAAACGGCAATCCAACGCCCAGAGGCCGCCAAGCCAGTCGTGCACCCCCCTCGCAGTCGGAGCGAGGACAGAAGGACATGCTTCAAGAACTCGGGACCCTCCGCTGGCCAAACTGAGGAACATTCGGGAATGGACAGACCCCCCTTTAGTAAAACGTGGTTTAGTGAAAACGACCTGAGGCCCAAACCTGGCGGGCGCAAGCCTGGAAAATAACGGCCACGGCGCCATCTCGAGAACCGAAAACGGACAATTCACTAATCGACGTGTCACTGTTGGGGGTTCTGTCCACCCCCGAAACATTCGAGGGTGCCCTCCCCCAGGACGCAGAAGAACATCCGACAAGCACGCAGGACGTTAGGGTAGCCTCCCCGATTCGACCTCGATCCGAAGCCTCGGCGCCTGACTGTGCTGCGGTCGCCTCGCCGCCCACGACCTCCACGCGCCAGCTGAAGGCCATCTCGGCCGCTTGGCCGAGGCCAGGAGTGTCCATACACCATCCTGGGGCCTACACCCTGCGAAATGCTTAAGAAATCATGGGTTAAGAAATTCATAGTCTCAGAACTTGAATGAAAACCCAGAACTTCTATCAAAATCTTTGGATTGACATTGAAAAAGTAAGAATAATCAAGACTCTGGCCGAAAACTTAAGTTTTCTTAAGCATCGCCTAAGGTGTAGGATAGCCCTGGCCAGGCATGGTGGTGGTACATGCGTGCCTTCTCAGGGAAGAACTAAAACAAGTATCCGGGCGCAGGACCCAACCATACACAACAGTGAGTACCGCAAGGCAGGCGGGACGAAGGATGGGGAGCTCCTTACGAGGCCACGAGACGTGTGAGGGTATGCCGACATGGGCGGGGGGCGCATGTGGACACCGCCGCCAAGGTCTTCTGTGGAGTTCCCGAGGGGCAGGCCACTGAACGCGTAAGCGGCGTGCCGAAATGGGTCGGGGGATACGCATGTGATCACAGCCACTGGGGCCTTCGGTAGAGCGCCTCGGAGCGCTTCTGGGTGGAGAGCGCCTGGAGAGCGCCTATCAGCGCTTGGGAGCGCCTGGGAGCGCCCGGGGGCGCCTGCGGGAGCGCTTGCGGGAGCGCATGGAGAGCGCCTGGCAACTGGCACTTCTGGGGGCGCCCGAGACCGCACGCGAGCGCCCGGGGGAACTCGGGGGCGCCCGGGAAGCGCTTCGGAGCGCGTGGGAAGCGACTGGGAGCGACTGGGAGCGCCTCGGAGCGCTTGGGGGCGCCTGGGAGCGCCTGGGTGCGCTTGGGAAGCGCCTGGGAGCGCCAGAGGGCGCTTGGGAGCGTCCGGGAGCGCCTGGGAGCGTCCGGGAGCGCCTGGGAGCGCTTGCGGGAGCGCCTGCAAACGCTGGGGAGCGCCTGGCGTTTGGGAGCGCTTGGGAGCGCCCGAGACCGCATGGGAGCGCCTGGGAGAACTTGGGGACGCCTGGGAAGCGCCTCGAAGCGCTTGGGAAGCGACTGGGAGCGCCAGGGTGCACTTGGGTAGCGCCTGGGAGCGCCTGAGAGCGCTTGGGAGCGCCTGGGAAGCGCCAGCGCTTGGGAGCGCTTGGGAGCGCTTGGGAGCGCTCGATAGCTCGCTTTGAGGCCACGAAGCGCTGTACTGGGTGGCGCGGGACGCATGTGAAACAGCCACTGGGGCCTTGCGGTGGAGCTCCCGACGGGGCCAAGAAACGCTGCACTGGGTGGCGCGAGACGCATGTGATCACAACGGCTTAGGCCTGCGGTGGAGCTTCTTATGGGGCCACGAAGCGCTGTACTGGGTGGCGCGGCACGCATGTGATCATAGCCACTAGGGCCTTCGGTGGAGCTCCCTTTGGGGCCACGAAACGCTGTACTGGGTGGCGCGGGACGCATGTGATCACAGCCGCTGAGGGTGCGGTGGAGCTCCCGAAGGGGCCACGAAACGCTGTGCTGGGTGGCGCGGGACGCATGTGATCACAGCCGCTTAGGCCTTCGGTGGAGCTCCCTGTGGGGCCACGAAACGCTGTACTGGGTGGCCCGAAACGCATGCGATCACAGACGCTGGGGCCTGCGGTGGAGCTCCCTGTGGGGCCACGAAACGCTGTGCTGGGTGGCGCGGGACGCATGTGATCAGAGCCGCTTAGGCCTTCGATGGAGCTCCCTGTGGGGCCACGAAACGCTGTACTTGGGGACACGGCACGCATGTGATCACAGCCACTAAGGCCGTCGGTGGAGCTCCCGATGGTTGCGCGGAACGCTGCACTGGGTGGCGCGGGACGCATGTGATCACAGCCACTGGGGACTTCGGTGGAGCTCCCTTTGGGGCCACGAAACGCTGTACTGGGTGGCGCGGGACGCATGTGCTCACAGCCACTGGGGACTTGGGTGGAGCTCCTTAAGGCTTAGGGGGCCACGAAACGCTGTGCTGGGTGGCGCGGGACGCATGTGATCACAGCCGCTGGGGCCTTCGGTGGAGCTCCCGATGGAGCCACGAAGCGCTGCACTTGATGTCGCGGGTCGCATGTGATCACAACCGCTGGCACGAAGCGAGTGAGGCGTGAGGGAGGATGGGGAGAAGGGGCGAGGAGAAGGAAAAGAAGGAACGCGGGGCGCTGTCTCATCGGAACGAGGACCCAACACCACAGGATGGTTGGGAATTCGCCGGCCCAACGGGCCAGAGGCGTGCCAAGATCTCCGGTAACTGGTAAACAGTATTTCTGGTTCGCGCGCGCGGGGCGGCCCCTGGGGGTCCCTGGGTCAAAAGTACCCCGAGAGGAGCCCGGGACACGCCCGGGACACGCCCGGGACACTCCCCCAGATCCTTCAGGATCGCCCCAAGAGGGCCCCAAGAGGCCCCCAACACAATCCAAGAGAGGTCCGAGACGCCTGAAGATCGCTCCACGGCGCCCAAGATGGCCTCCAGACGGCCCAAGAGGTCTCCAAGATGGCCCAAGAAGCCTCCAAGATGCCGCCCCAAGAGGCCTCCAGGAGCACTCCCAAGAGGGCCCCAAGAGGCAAAAATCAATGTTTTTTCTTAGGTTTTGGACAGATTTGGGCGTTTAAACCTTTTCGGTTCCCCGACGCCCCTAAACGGCTCAAGAGGCCTCCAAGATCGCCCCAAGAGGGGCCAAGAGGCCCTCAAAAGGGCCCCAAGACAGCCCAAGACGGCTCCAAGACGGCCCCAGAGGCCTCCAAGACAGCCCAAGAGGGCCCCAAGAACGCCCCCAACACGGTCCAAGAGAGGTCCGAGACGCCCGAAGATCGCTCCACGACGCCCAAGATGGCCTCCGGACGGCCCAAGACGTCTCCAAGATGGCCCAAGAAGCCTCCAAGATGCCCCAAGAGGCCTCCAAGAGAACTCCCACGAGGGCCCCAAGAGGCCAAAACTGTGTTTTTGTTTCCGTTGGTTTTGGACAGATTTGGGCGTTTTAACCTTTTCGGTTCCCCGACGCCCCTAAACGGCTCAAGAGGCCTCCAAGATCGCCCCAAGAGGGCCCAAGAGGACCCCAAGAGGGCCCCAAGACGGCCCAAGACGGCTCCAAGACGGCCCCAGAGGCCTCCAGGACGGCCCAAGAGGGCCCCAAGAACGCCCCCAACACAGGTCCGAGACGCCCGAATATCGCTCCACGACGCCCAAGATGGCCTCCAGACGGCCCAAGACGTCTCCAAGATGACCCAAGAAGCCTCCAAGATCCCCAGGAGGTCTCCAAGTGCATTCCCAAGAGGGCCCCAAGAGGCAAACAAACAATGCTTCTCCATAGGCTTTGGACAGATTTGGGCGTTTCAACCTTTTCGGTTCCCCGACGCCCCTAAACGGCTCAAGAGGCCTCCAAGATCGCCCCAAGAGGGCCCAAGAGGCCCCCAAGAGGGCTCCAAGATGGCCCAAGACGGCTCCAAGACGGCCCAAGAGGCTTCCAAGACGGCCCAAGAGGGCCCCAAGAACGCTTCAAGAACGCCCCAAGAGGGGGTTCACGAAACATAATTTCGAGCCCTCGGCCCTTAAGAGGCCCCCAGGAGGCCCCAAGACGCCCCCAAAGGCCCCAAGAGGCCCCCAAGAGGCCCTCAAGAGGCCTCAAGAGGCCTCCAAAAGGCCCTCTGGAGGCCTCCAAAAAACTCTCAGGAGGTCCCCAGGACGCCTCCAAGACTCCAGCCAGACGCGACTTGGGAAACGCGGGTCGGGGTGGTCCTCCTCCCCCGCGTTCGGCTCCCGACGCCGCAGCTCCACACTGCAAACGACCACTCGGACAGGCGACCACGGTGCGACATTATGGGCCAGCGGAATGAGCGAAGCGATTAAATGAAAACGCCCAACGCACCAGAATCGTGCCTCCCCCCCTCCCCTCAGGCTGCTGGCGGACACGCCGTCCTGCTGCATTCTGCCGGGCTCCTCCAGCACGTACGTGGAGGGGCCCTCGAGGAGCGGGTCGCCCGCACCGCCGGTGCCGCCGCGCAGGAGCGCCTGCACGTCGGCGTCGAAGTCTTTGTAGAGCTCGCTGAAGTCCTCTGGCTTGCATGCTTTCACACGCTCGTCCAGAGCCCCCCCCCAGCGCGGCTGCCGCCTCCGCCCCACCTGCGCGACCCCTCGCCTCCCCCTCGTCCACGAGCCATTCGTCCTCGTCCGCGTCTCCTTCCAGTCAGCCCCCGATCCCCTCCTCGACTAGCACCTCGCCCCCTAGATGGGCCACGCCGTTGCTTGACCAGGGACAGAGGCTTCCTGTCATGCGAAGCTCCGGCTCGCCAGTACATTAATGAGCCTGCCCAGAAAAAGCGGAGAGCCACCCCGCTCGACCCCCACTCGGAGCGGACACTCCCGGTGCTCAGCCTCCAGCTCCCCCCCCCTGTGGCTGTCGGTCCCCGCCTCTGCCTCAGGACGACACCAGCCATTACACTGGGCAGGCAGGTCAGAGTTTCGAAACGCCGGCTGGGGTTCAGAATTCGAAGGATGCCCAGGTGAAGTCCAGCGGGCGAGAGGGGGGGGCGCAAATACACAACGCACACCGATCTTGGCCAGGCCAATCTGAGGCCCAGTCGGTGTACACGCCTTCCGGGCTAAGCCAGGTCTGCGTACGCACCGATCCTGCGCCCAAAACAGGCTCGGGGATCTACTGACCCGGGTCATTGCGAACCCGGGCCAGTCTGGCTTTCCAAACTCCGGCAAGATCCGGCAGGATCCCGCACGCAAGCACGGGTCAACGCAGCCTTGCCTCTCCAGGGTCCTGCAAGATCCGGCGCTCTGGCTGACCCCCGCTTGCATTGACCCTCGTCCACGGAGCCCCGAGAACAAGCCTATAGCCAGCATCGGCGCCGGTCTTCCGAACACCGCCCCCCGGCGGCGCCTCCGTGTCCCGCACGGACTGCTGGCCCCCGATGGACAGCTGGCCAAGGGACACGCAGCCGGCCGGCAACAGCAGGACAACGGCGGCCGCCGGAATCGCCTCGGCTGCAGGACGGGGGCCCAGACATGCGACGCCCTGATGTTTTCCAATGCGGGATCCCCAGAGGCCCCGCCCGACCCTTTCCCTGGGACCAGCTTTTCATCCCGAGTCGTGTTTGACGGTCCCATGGGGCCTGGCGAGGGCCCTCGGAGCTTGCCAAAAAACCTCTCGTCCGGATTGTTGTTCCAGACGCGTCTTCGAAGGAGGGAGAGATGCCGATGCCGCCGCTCCTCCTGGAGAGCCCCCGTCACCACGGCTGGATTCTCTCGAGGCTCTGCACCCCGGGCGAGGTCCAGGGAGCAGCGCCCCCCCCCCCGCGTCTGGGGAGCGGGCCATGCTCGGTCGGCGGGCAGCGGGGCTCAGCGCAGGCAGGGATCAGCGAGAGCGCCAGAGCCCGCCAGATCCTGCAGGGCCGGATTTGGGCTGAGCCGGGCTGAGGGGCCGCCCGCGACCCCGGAGTTTGAAGGTCCGAACTTTTTTTGTTAGCAGGCGTGCAGGGGTTGGGCACCTCATGCAGTTGCGCTGTCACAGGGGGCAGCGCGTCAAGAGCCTGGAGAAGGTGGGAACACTGTGGATCTGGCCTTATGCATGTCTGAGAGGAGCGTGCACTTGCACGAAGCAGTTCTTCCTCACCCCACCGAGATGGGCTGGAACACACGGGTACAATTCCCAACACATTGTACTCCAAAGCCAACAGCGGCCGCTGTCGGGCAAGCGACATTCTGTCACAGATGGACAACGCCCGCCGCGACACCGACAGCGAACCCTGTTCAAGATGAGCGAGAAATGCAATCGGTCTTTGAACCCACTCTGTCCGTACCCATGTAGGTCTTCTCGATGGAGGTGGCCTTATTAATATGTGCTGAGCCGGATTTGGAAAACCCCCAAAGTTGGCCACGCGGGGGTTCACTGGGCTGGGCGAAATACGACCGACATCCCCCAAGCGGACAGGCACCGGGAAGAAGGTGGGCATCTGACCCAGAAGGCTGCCAGGTTCGTTATGCAAACATGTCTCACCACAGGGAAACCCCACACAGCGTCTGCCACTGGTTGCGCCAAAAGTGACATACGGCACACTCACCGCCCTACAAGGAAAATGCGATCCCTCCTGCGCGCTTGTCTTAAGAAATTATCGCAAGTGGTTTCGCCGCAAATGCGCTACACAAAGTACAACACAGCCAAAGCGCAACTTCCCCTCTTAACCTTACTTTCCATACGGTGTGCCGCAAGTTGCGTGATAGACTTTCACGGTGAGTCTACTGACAAGACATGTTCGAGGACCCCTTGCAACAATCGCTCTCTCGGTAAGGGGGCAAACTCAACAGGCCTGGGCAGACAGGCGCGAGTTTCAAGTTTCATGCTCGACCCAGTGGACCTGGACACCGTTTGGGTGCCCACAACACAGCCTGCACACACACACACACACACACACACATCTCACCGAGGGCTTCAAAACGGCTCTACGATACCTATACAACCACCCTGCAGGTGATAAGGAGGTTGTGGGGGGGGAGAGGGGGGGGAACCAACATCTGACTCTCGCGGCCGCGGGCCGGTCGAAGGCGGCACTGCACCCGAGCCGAGCTGGGGGGGCGCAGGTGTGAAGGGGCCCTGGGACACACAAACAAATACACACATATAAAAAAATCCCCGTGTTTTTCTTCCCCCCCGCTTCCCATATTTTCCTGTATTTTCTGGGGACTCGCCGATTAATTGTGTCTGTGTGTTTCTTTCCCTCCTGCAGGTGGGCCCCCCAGGCACAGACATGCTCGCACCGAGAAGCAATCGCGACGGGCATCTGTTCCGCCGTCTTCGGCCTCCAGGGGCCCTCGCTGGGCCCCGGGACCGTCAAAGACCAACTCGGTATGAAAAAGCAGCCCTCATGGGGAAAGGTGAAGGGGCCCTGGGACACACAAATAAACGCACACAAATAAAAATATTCCCCGTCTTTTCCCATGTTTTCTGGGTTTTTGTCTTCCCCCCCGCTTCCCATATGTCCCCATATTTTCTAGGGAATCGCCGATGAATTGTGTCTGTGTGCTTCTTTCCATCCTGAAGGTGGGCCTCCCGGGCACAGACATGCTCGCACCGAGCAGCAATCGCGAGGGGCGCCTGTTCTGCCGTCTTCGGCCTCCAGGGGCTCTCGCCTGGCCCCGGGACCGTCGAAGACCGACTCGGTATGAAAAAGCAGCCATGATGGGGGAAAGGTGAAGGGCAAATAGATACGCACAAATGACAGGATCCCCAGATTTTTTCTCCATTTTCTGAGTTTTTGTCTTCCCCCCCACTTCCCGTATTTTCCTATATTTTCTAGTGAATCGACGATTATTTGTGTCTGTGTGTTTCTTTCCCTCCTGAAAAGGGTCGGGACTTCCAGGAACCGGGCATTGAAAAAGATGACGACATCGCATGTGTGGGCACATCCATCACCTTTCGAGTGATCTCGGAAACGCTGGTGTAGCCCTCGGGCTCACGGACAAGAAGACTGTATGGATGCAGTCCAGGGGAGAGAAGGGCTGCCCTGGCACTCCATCCCAGATTTCGAACCGCCCTCCAAAGCAGAATCGCGATGGCGGAAAAGGCAGCTTTCCAGCGTCGAGCCGTCCCCCTCCCCCTCCTCCTCCTCCTCCTCCTCCTCCTCCTCCAAATCCTTCTCCTCCTCCTCCTCCACCGGACGAGGAGGAGGAGGAGGAGGAGGAGGAGGAGGAGGAGGAGGAGGAGAGGGAGGAGGAGGAGGAGGAGGAGGAGGAGGAGGAGGAGGAGGAGGAGGAGGAGGAGGAGGAGGAGGAGGAGGGGGGGGAGGGGGAGGAGGAGGGGGAGGAGGAGGAGGAGGAGGAGGAGGAGGAGGAGGAGGAGGAGGAGGAGGAGGCCGGGGGATTGTGGAGTCGCTGTGGGTTGTAGACGAAAATTTACGATGTTTCACGTTGTTCCTCATCATTATGCTGATGTTTCCTTTCTCGTTTTTTCTCTCTCTCTCTCTCTCAATCTCTCCCATTCCCATTCCCATTCCATTCCCATTCCCAATACCATTACCATTACCATCCCCATTCCCATTCCCATTCACATGACCGTTACCATTACCATTACCTTTACCTTTATCTTTACCTTTACCATTACCATTACCATTGCCATTACAATTGCCAGTGCCATTACCATTGCCATCACCATTGCCATTGCCATTGCCATTGCCGTTGCCATTGCCATGGTATTGCCATTGCCAGTCGCCACCCCGTTACCATTACCGTTACCATTACCATTACCATTCCCATTACCATTACCATTCGCCACTACCATTACCATTGCCATTATCATTAGCATTACCAACACAATTGCCATTACCATTACCATTACCGCTGCCATCACCATTACAATTCCCATTCCCATCACCATTGCCATTATAATTAACGTTACCAGTACCATTTCCATTACCATTGCCATTATCATTACCACTAGCACTACCATTTCCATTACCATTGCCATTATCATTACCACTACCACTACCATTTCCATTCCCGTTCCCGTTCCAAGTACCACTGCGATTCCCATTCCCATTCCCATTCCCATTACCATTACCATTGCCATGGCCATTACCATTGCCATGGCCATTGCTATTGCCATTGCCATTGCCGTTGCCATTCCCATTGCCATTGCCATTGCCAGTCCCATTACCATTACCATTGCCATCGCCGTTGCCATTGCCAGTCGGCACCCCGTTACCATTGCCATAACCATTACAATTACCGTTATCGTCACCATTACCATTTCCAGTACCATTATCACTACCACTGTCATTGCCATTACCATTACCATTGCCATTGCCATTGCCATTCGCCACTACCATTACCATTGCCATTCGCCACTACCATTACCATTACCATTGCCGTTGCCATTGCCCTTCGCCACTACCATTACCATTGCCAGTACCATTACCATTCCGATTCACATTCCCATTCCCAATACCATTACCATTACCATTACCATTACAACTGCCATTGCCATTACCATTACCATTACCTTGACCTCTACCTTTACATTTACCCTTACCCTTACCATTCCCATTTCCGTTACCACTACCACTGCCATTTCCATGCCCGTTCCCATTCCCATTCCCATTCACATTCCCACTCCCGTTCCCATTACCATTCACATTACCATTGCCATTACCCTTACCATTGCCATTGCCAGTGACATGGCCATTACCATTGCCATTGCCATTGCCATTGCCATTACCATTACCATTACCGTTGCCATTGTCATTGTCATTGTCATTGCCATTGTCAGTCGCCACCCCGTTACCACTATCATTACCGTTACCATTACCAGTACAATTACCATTACCTCTGTCATTACCATTACCATTCGCATTGCCATTGCCATTGCCACTAGCCACTACCATTACCATTGCCAGTACCATTTCCATTGCCACTCCCATTCTCATGACCATTACCTTTACTAGTACCATTACCATTATCATTATCATTATCATTTCCATTGCCATTACCTTTACCTTTACCTCTACTTTTACCTTTACCCTTACCCTTATCATTCCCATTTCCGTTACCACTACCACTACCATTTCCATTCCCGTTCCCGTTCTTTCTCCCATTCACATTCCCATTCCCGTTCCCATTCCCATTCCCGTTACCATTACCATTGCACTTACCATTGCCGTTGCCATTGCCATGGCCATTATCATTGTCATTGCCATTGCCAATCCCATTGCCATTGTCATTACCATTACCGTTGCCATTGTCATTGCCATTGCCAATCGCTACCCCCTTACCATTACCGTTACCATTACCATTACCAGTACCATTGCCATTACCTCGGTCGTTACCATTACCATCACCATTGCCATTGCCATTGCCATTCGCCACTACCATTACCATTGCCAGTGCCATTTCCACTCCCATTCCCATTACCATTCGCATTACCATTACCATGAGACTACCGCTGTCATTACCATTAGAATTCTCATTCCCATTCCCAATACTATTACAATTTCCATTTCCATTACCATTACCATTACCATTTCCAGTGCCATTACCATTACCACTGCCACTATCATTTCCATTCCCGTTCCCGTTCCCAGTCCCACTTCCATTCCCATTACCATTACCATTACCATTACCACTGCCATTGCCATTACCATTACCATTACCATTACCATTACCTTTAACTCTACCTTTACCTCTACCCTCACCATTACCATTACCACTGCCATGGCCATTACCATTGCCATTGCCATTGTCATTGCCCCGTAACCATTACCAGCACCATTACCATTGTAATTACCATTACCATTACCATTACCATTACGATTGCCATTGCCATTGCCATTGCCATTGCCATTCGAGGATTTCAGTTGGAATCATTCAGTGGAGGGTTTCAGTAGGAATCCACATGTGGAGGATTTCGGTAGAAATCATTCAGTGGAGGGTTTCGATAGGAACCCTTCTGTCGAGGATTTCACTGTGAATCCTTCTTATGGGGGCGTCCAATAGGAATCCTTCTAGGGGGGAGGGCAGATTTGGCCACGTCGCATTCCTTTTATTTTCTCCTGGCGCCCCCCTCCCCCCGAGAAAAAAAAAAAACCCAAAAAAAACATGTTTCTGGGGGGGGGGGGGGGGGGGGGGGGGGCGCCAGGATAAAAAACAAACAAAACAAAACAAAAAAACAGAGAGGTAGCAGGAGGGGGAGAGGGAGGAGGAGGAGGAGGAGAAAGAGGCGGAGGAGGAGGAGGAGGACGACACTGAGCAGAGTTTGCACAGAAACACTCGCGAACTCAGCGCGAAACCCTCGCGCGCGCGCTGTGGAACCCCAGCGACTCCACAATCCCCCGTTCTCGAGGAGGAGGAGGAGGAGGAGGAGGTGGTGGTGGTGGAGGAGGAGTGGAAGCCGGCAAGGCGCCGAACGGCAGCAAAAAGCACCGTCCTGACGATGGGCGTCAACAGCCTTCCGACTTTCTACGATTTTTTCAGTGCGCGGCCCCAGAGGTCCCAACCCCTCCCCCAGGGCCTATTGTTCGCCAAAGACCCATTTCTTCTGGCTCCACGACCCGATAACGGGCCCCCGAGGCCGAAGGCAAAGGGAAAACGCCGACGGAAAAATCAAAGCAGCCAGACTGAAACAGATCACATCGTAAGACATCTGCATGGGCCCCTCGCCGCAGCCCTCCGCACCAGCCGATCGGCTACACGCAGGAGGGGCCCTGGGTAAGAGTGACCTTTGGTGCGCGACTTTTGGGGGGTCGCGGGGCGACCAAACCTGGGCGCGCAAGCAGCTGCTACTGCCTCGCTTTCGGCCATTTGGGGGCCCATCTGTGCCCGCACCAAAGGTCACTCCGGCGAAAGGTCACTCGTACGCCTAGCCGAGCCGAGGCCGCCGCCCGCATCTGGCGGGTGATCCGGGCCAGCGGGCGCGGGCCTGTGCGCTGCCGGCGAGCTCTCGAGGGCGCGGCGGCGGCCCCCTGGCCGAGAGAGAGGGGTCCACACGTCGTGGTCCCGGGCGGAGGCCTCCCAAATGTTGGAGGCCTGGAAATTGGCACCAACACCACCACAGGGGGTTGCCTCCACAGGGGGAAGATGATCCTAGATTTCGGTGTTGGTGGTAATATTTCGGCCACCTTGGAAGCCAGAATATTACCACCATCACCGAGACCGGACTCCTCATCCCTCGGTGGAGGCACGCCGCCGATCTTGGAGTTGGTGTCAATCTCGAGGCCTACGAAGATGGGGTCCCAGTGGAACTAGGGCTCCCAACTTCGCGCTTCGCGCTGCGCGAAGCGCGAAGCGCGAATAACTTCGCGCTCTCGCGCCGCCCTCCCAAAGGGAGAATAGGAGGACGAGGAGGAGGGGGAGAAGGAACGAGGACCGCGAAGCGCGAAGCGCGAATAACTTCGCGCCCTCGAGGGAGCCCTTGAATCTCGAGGCCTACGAAGATGGGGTCCCAGTGGAAGGGGTCGGAGGATCGCGCCCACATCGCCGATGCATCGGCGATGCGTCGGCGCCGTCGCCGTGGAGAAAGTCGGGCCCCACATCGGAGCCGCATCGCCGATGCATGGGAGGTGTGGCGCAATCCTCCGACTCCATCTCGTCGGACCTCATTCGGGAGGCCTGGATAGGGTTAGGTCGGGCATGTCCCCCTACAGGCGGATTTCGCGCGAAACATTAAGATACCCAAATATGCAACAAATAGTCAAAGAATACTCAAAAAAATCATCCCCTGACTATCTTTAAACTATTTTGGAATATTCCTCCTGTAGAGGGACAGGCCTGACTTAAGGATAGGGCCGACAAATGGCATGTCTCGGGGGAAAGGTCTGAGAACCTGGCCGAAGTCGCCAAGACCGGCCACTCAACTGCTCCTCGCAGGATCGTGCTGGGGTCGCTGCGGCCGTTGTGGGATGTCCGAAGGCCAGCGCATAAACGAAAACCGACCGACCTCTCCCGCGGGTACGTTAATCACCTGAATGGTGTCTGGAAACGGCAGGACCGTCTTTTAACCGTTTCCAGAAAGTCTGGGTCTTGACCGTGAATAATCCGTTAGAGACACCACGGAAGAAACAAAACAAAAACGGCTGGCGCGGTGCTCGAGAGCGGGGCGCTCCCGCAAGAAGAAACGCCAAGGGGCCAGCATGAGGGGGAACGGTCGGGGGAAGCCAGTTCAGGGGTGGGGGGGCAAGGACAAGCGGCGATGTGCGCCCCAGGGGGTGGCTCTCGAAGAGCTCGGCGGGGGCGCCAAAGCGCCGAAATTCGGATCGGAAGCTGGGCGAGGGCTGGCAAATCCGTGCCTGCTAAGACGGTCTTCCCGAAAGAAAAAAACAAATCCCCAGAATTAAACTCGGCGCTCGAAATAATAAACGGGCTGCTTCCCGGAAAGAAAAAACAAATTCCCGGGGCTCCGTAATTTCAGCAGCCACGGAATTGCCTATCTTCGCCTGGCTTCCGAGAAACTCAAGTGTCGGAAAGCATGACTGCTTCACGAGCCGGAATCTGCAACATGGGCTCCACTGATGTCGGCCAGCACCGACCTGGAGCACCGACCTGGAATCGGCAGTGCATCGCCCGTAGATCGGCGATGGGCCCCCGGATCACGAGTCCGCAGCCCTGGGCGACGTGGGCCCTCGGGGACGCACGGCGATGAGTGGGCGATGGGGGGCCGATGCGTCCCCCCCCGAGCCTATGAGGAGGAGGATGAGGAGGAGGAGGAGGAGGCGGAAGAGGAGGAGAAGGCGGAGGAGGAGGAGGAGGAGGAGGAGGAGGAGGCGGCCCCGCCGCCCACAGCGATGCCCCTGGCTGGTCGCCGCGCCTTCGAGGGCCCGCGTCTCTAGAGAAGGAGACCTAGTAGGATGACATGTATGTAGGGGTACCGGGCGGTGGCCACGCTCGAGCCGCGAGCCGAGGGATCGGGCGCGCGCGCTGCGCCCCGGTGGGCGCCAGCAGACACCGTCCTCCTGGCCAGACGGGAGGGCTGGCTGCAGATGCAGCTGGAGCCCTGGAACGCTGCGTACGGCAAGTCCGCGTCGTGTCGACCCTGGCGCCAGCTTCTGACAACGCGGGGATCGTTCAACCTTGAACGATCGACCGTTCCAGCCGTTTCAGATACGCTGGATCGTTTACCGATGGGGAAATCTGGGCCACGGGCGGCGTTCTATCTTACACGCCCGCGCTGGGGTCGCCGCTGGTTGGCACGACGCTAATTTACCATGCCACGTTCTCAGGTGCTCGTTCTGGTGCACTCAGGAGCCACTCGCTCCACTCTTGCGTAGGTGCTGCGTCGAACGTCCGTTGCCTTGAGACGGGCTCGAGTCGAACTTGAGGCGAACTAGGGTCGAACTGGAGTCGGACAGATCTCAAACACCCACCATATACCATGTAGCACCTGACGAATGCGTAGTCCCAAATCTGGGGGGACTTGAAGGGACCGAAACCGCTACTCCCCAGAACTCTCCAGTGGTGTGTTCTGACCAGAATTTCGCGGAGAATCTGGCCGTGGCGACGAGGGCCTCCCAGGAGGTCCAAAAACGCGAAAACGAATCATATTTTCCCAACCCCTTCTCTGGGGCCAGGCTTTCGCCCCGGATCTATTTTTGATGCCGGGACCCGATGACGGGCGTGGGAGTCCGAAGTCGGCGGAAAAACGCCGATGGGATACATAATATTGCCGTGCCTCTTCCTCCTCTGAAGACCAGCCGCACGGCACCACGTGATGACCGTTTTCTGATTCGGCGTTTCGACATTGGGCGGAACGGGGGGAAGGAAGAGGGGGGGGGGTCTGGCTCCGGACCTCTGCTTAATGCGACTGTTTGCAATAGTGCGTCCTACGGGGGAGACTCCACCTGCTTGAAACAGGCGCCAGAAACAGCCAAGATCTACTCCAGGGGGGGGGAGGGGGGGGAGCGAGGGCCCGCGCCGATCGGCAAAACAATAACAAGAAAACGATCACATGGCAACGCAAGGCACCACGCTGGCAAGACGGGCTCGACGCGCCACCGCCCACACAGCACCACTACACGGAACACCATGCCACGGAACCGCACTGGCAGGGCCGATCCGCGACATGGGGAGCACGGCACCGCACGGACCGGGCACAGAATCCCCCCTGAGATCTGGGCGTTGCAGCTTGTTCCCATTGGGCGTCAGCGCTCGTTTGCGGGGCCCCGGACCGACACAGGTCGATAAAGCCCTAAAAAAGGCGCAACGGAAAAAGGTCTGGGGCTCCAGTCGTGATTTGTGGCGATGATGGACTCTTTCTCGCAACGCCGGATCTCAGGGAACGATGCAACGCGGCATGGCACCGCGCGACGCCACACGGCACCACGCTGGCAGCGGATCCGAAAAGTGGAGGCACGACACCACTCGGCACCAGCGCGGCACGGAAGCAGGCAGCGCGTCTGAGGCTTGGGCACCAACAGCGGGGCCTCTGCCAGAACCCGTGGGCCCGCGGCACGCCTCGCGCGGCACGGCATGCACAGCCCGCGTGGGCGCACGCATGACTGTGGCTCTGGGACCGAGTAACGAAACGGGGTTCATCGACAAATGCAGCGCCCTTCCAGTCACAGCGCTACCATCAGGAACGCTGGAGGAGGAGCGAAGGGGCTTCTTCTGGCCACGGCTGGCTTCGGCCGCTGGTAGGATCCCGACCTAGATCTAAAGAACGCCTGCAAAACTGCAGCCCCTCCTGAGCCCACGTGGTCCTTCCTTCATCAGCGTCTTGACTGTACAACTGTACAGCCTGTTTGAGATACTGAACGCACACGTGTGACTGCACTTGGATCCAACCGTGGCGAAGCGGGGGAGAGCAGAGAGAGATAGACGACAGTGACTAGAGACGACCTGTCAAGAGAAGTGGCTGATACAGGTAGGAGAGCAGGGAGAGTGGAGGCAGGAGGCAGCGAAACAGAGAGAAAGAGACAGAGGATGAGAGAGCAAAGATAGAGGCCTCCCAAATGGGATCCGAGCAGACGGAGTCAGAGGATGGCGCCGTGCATAGGCGATGCATCGGCGACGTATCGCCGTCATCGGCTGGAGAATATCGGGCTCCGCATCGAGCCGCATCGCCGATGCACCGGCGATATGGCGCGATCCTCCGACCCCGTCTACTCTAACCCCGTTTGAGATGCCCGGAAAGATGCAGTGAAAGAGCGACCTTTTCGGTGAACTTGCGGCCCCCAAGCGGAACCCTAAGTGACACTTTCAATCACACTCGGTGCTCACAAAAATGACAACCGAAGTATCAACGAAAGATCATGCATCACCCGCCTATGGGCTGCAGGAGGGTACGGATGTGAAGGAGGCGGAGGTGGCCCCAGGAACACCCGTCTTCCCGCCCCAAGTAGCCAGACGCCCAGGGGGCCATGGCAGGAGCGTCCAAGAGAGATCCCCCAGGTCTAGAGCACCACCACCACCCTGGAACTTCGAAGAGGAGGGGGGTTGGTAAGGGCTCAATGACTTCTGCATTTCTGCTGGCCCTCGACTCGCGCTAAAGCCTCCACGATTTGCTCAAGGTGTCCCTGGAGATCTCTAGATTTACGCAGATGCGCCTGGATGGACCTGCCTTTCTTTGGACCTGCCCAGATCTACCTCGCCTGATCCTCGCAAGTCGATTAGAGAAAAGTCATCAAGCCCTTGGTAGGGTGGGGGGGGGGGCCTGCATGGCGGTACGCCTGCCAAGCCAAGCTGGCCCAAGAGACGCCGGAACGACGCGAGCCGTGGCGGGCGGGTCTCACTCGGCGCCCCCACTGGCGGCCGCGGATCTCGGCCCCGTCCTGGCAGGGGCAAGGGAAGGCAGCAGCACCACCACCAGGGAGTGGCAACGGGACGGCTGGACCGGCTCGCGCGGGAAGCATCGAGCTGGGATTGGCAGTGCATCGCCAACAGCTTGGTTCTTTGGGCACCAGAGGCAAAACCGAGCGCTCCTGGGGCGGGGTGGGCTGTGGGGCCCCTGCCGGCGATGAGCAGGCGTGGGGGCCGGCGCGTAACTCCATGCCTTCCCCCCCCCCACAAGGGAACGTTGCCCCCGAGCCAGGGGCGAGAGCCAGGCAGGGTCTTCGGGGAGGCGGCTCGGGGAGGCAGCCTGGGGGGGATCGTGGACCTCTCCAGGAGGATCGCCCGCTCGGGGAGTCCTCGCAGGCCTCTCCCCGCAGGAGGCAGGCCCGCTGGTGGTGGCGATGGCGTGGGCGCTGCTTCGTGTGGGGGCGATGCGTGAGGGGCGCAACAACGTGCACCTCGAGTGCCTCCCTTGGGCCCCACAGGGGCTGCTTCGGGGCCCCTGAGGTGCAAGGACGGTGCACCCTGCTTCACCCCCCCCCCATCTATCGGGAGCGGCCAAGAGGGGGGTGTCCAAGAGAGGGGGGGTGCAAATCATGGCCGGCGGCATGTGCGCGGCCCCTGGGGGGGCCGAGGCACGTAATGAAACAAGAAGAGGCGCCATGAGATCTGGGGAAATATCATGGCCCACGCCATGATATTCACCCCCCCCTAGTCATCACCCCCCTCTTTTCCGCCCCCGATGCTTCACCCCCCCCATCGATCCCCCCCCAAAGCGCAGCGCCCGAGTGGCTCGGGATTCTGCTGACCCGGGCCAGTGCAAACCCGCCGCCCAACATGTACTGTAAGAGTTCTGAGCGCGCGTGACGCGGCTCGAGGGGGGGCTACGACGCACACATAAGATGAGTCTGTTTGGGTGATGCCGGTCACAAGGCCACCGAAACCCCCAGGAAACATCCGAAACCCTGGAAATCGGGAATGCGCTGACCCGGGAAGCGCTAACTCGGATCATTTCGCGAACCTTGGCGGGCTACGAAGCAGCTCCAAAACCTGGGTCAGCAGAGGGAAATGAGGGTGGTCGGCCCTACATGGCTCCCGAGCCCAGGTCAGCCAGAGGGGGTCGGAGGGAACTGGCTGACCCCTGTTAGGGATGAGCTTCGTGCGCTCGTGCGAAAAGCGCTCCATGACTTGCCGGGCCCGCAGCCGAGCTCGGCCAGACCCGGGGGCCCCCAGAGGAGCCAGAAGCCCTCGTGCTCCCCGCCCGTGCCCCTGCGATCAGCCGTGGCACCGAGGGTGCATGCCCACGCGCCGGTGACTGCCCATATCTTGCCGTCGCTCGGGCGTCCGTTTCCCGTGCGTTTTTCGGTTTCGTGCGTCTTTTTCTCTGCTCGATGGTCCAGGACGGTCCTCGATGGTTCTCGCCGAGAAAAGAGGCACACGTCCGAGCGACGCCAAGATGTGCAACACCACCCGTGACGGCATGGCGTGCATCCGCCTGCGCAGTCAGAGCCCTCCCCGGGTCCTGCGCGCCAGCGTCCGCTGCTCGGTGCTCCCCGCGGCGGCCCCCCTCCCGAGGCCGGGCGCGGCGCCCTGCGCACCGGCGCCGCCCGCAGCGCCGCGCGCCCGCCCGCCCGCCCGTGCCTGGGCGCGCGGCGGCGCGCACCACTCCGCAAGGGGCACTTGCACACCGACGCCGTGGCCGTCCCGGACCCCGGGTGGGCGGCCCACCCGAGCAGGAGATCGACCGCAGAATGGATCTGGAGGCCTGGGAATGAGCACCAACACCAACACAGGGGGGCTGCCTCCACAGGGGGAAGAGGATCCTGGATTTCGGTGTCGGTGGTAGTATTTCGGTCGCCTTGGAAACCATAATATTACCACCATCACCGAGATCGGGATCCTCTCTTCCCTCGGTGGAGGCACAATGCCGAAATCGGTGTTGGTGTCAACCTCTAGGCCTGCGATGGCTGTGCCCCGAAGTTACAATCTGCTCGTCGACTCCACCAAGAGTGCGCCCAACGTTCGCCAGTCATGCTGAAGATGTACGCTTCTCTCGCAGGTTCTACGAGCATGGCAAGTCAGGGGTGAATCAATTATGCAGTCGATTTCCTACTCGATCCATGCGCCCCCGCGGGCAAGGCCAGGAGGGCCCTGGGCAGTCATGGAGGTGCGCAAGTGGCCTCGGCGTGAGACAGGGCGGGGCCGGACCCCCGACGCCGTGCCTCTTCCACAGCGTTTGGAAGCGCGCACAAGGGGATGGAGGGGGGGGGAGGGCTTCTCAGAAGCACCCTGCTTCTTAGAAGGCCCCAGCCTTACGTCTATAGAGAAGGCCAGCGCCTTCTAAGCAGCAGGGGTGATTCTAAGAAGCCCCCTCCCTCCCCCAAACCCCCCTCTGCGCGTGGCTGAGGCGTGGGCCCCCAGAGGTCTCGGCCCCCTCCCCGCGACTGGAATCTCCTCCTGGGCCGTCTTGCGGAACGGCCCCGAGGCCCGGCAGGGGCCCCCGGAGGCCCAACAGACCATCAACAGCCTCCGACCACCGTCGCTTCATGACCCGAGGGGATCCGAAATCGGCGCGCCGCCCGATGCCTCGAGCGCCGGATCGCCCCACGCCTCCAGCTCTTCGTGCGAGCGCGGGCCGCCCCCGCGCTGCGCCCTCGCCGCATCCTCGCCCGCCTGCCGACGCGGGGGCCACCGAGGCGGCTCCCCAAGGGGGGAGGGGCGGGCGGCATCGTCCTCCTCCTCTTGCTCCTCCTCCTCCTCCTCCTCCTCCTCCTCCTCCTCCTCCTCCTCCTCCTCCTTCTCCTTCCCCCTCCCCTCCCCCTCCCCCTCCCCCTCCCCCTCCCCCTCCTCCCTCCCTCCCCCTCCCTCCCTCCCTCCTCCCTCCCTCCCTCCCTCCCTCCTCCCTCCTCCCTCCTCCCTCCCCCCTCCCTCCTCCCACTCCCTCCTCCCCTCCGCCTCCCTCCTCCCTCCTCCCTCCTCCCTCCTCCTCCTCCCTCCTCCTCCCTCCTCTCCTCCCTCCCCCTCCCCCTCCTCCTCCTCCCTCCCTCCCCCCTCCCCCCTCCCCCCTCCCCCCTCCCCCCTCCTAACTCCTCCCTCCTCCCCCTCCTCCCTCCTCCCTCCTCCCTCCTCCTCCCCTCCCCTCCTCCCTCCTCCTCCTCCCTCCTCCTCCTCCCTCCTCCCTCCTCCCTCTCCTCCTCCCTCCTCCCTCCTCCCTCCTCCCTCCTCCCCCCTCCCCCCCTCCCCGTTCCCCCCCTCCCCCCCTCCCCCCCCCCCCCTCCCCCTCCCCTCCCCTCCTCTCCTCCTCCTCCTCCTCCTCCTCCTTCCCTCCCTCCCTCCCTCCCTCCCTCCTCCCTCCCTCCCTCCTTCCCTCCCAGTATTCCTCCCTCCCTCCATCCGTCCCTCCCTCCCTCCGTCACGCCCTCCTGCGCCCCCGCCTCACGAACCTCCGATATAGAGGCAGGAGCGTGAGAGATAGCGAGAGGGAGAGAGAGAGAGAGCGAGAGAGAGAGAGACAGAAAGAAAGAAAGACAGAAACAAGACAATACAATATGGGGAAACCAACAGGTACCGACACCGCTTCTCCCTGGACCTCTCCCGGGGTGCGTCCTGACCCGGATTTCGAGGAGAATCCAGCGGTGGCAACGAAGGCAGAAAAGGGGAAACGGGCGAGGGGTAGCGGTATCAGTACCTTGTCTCCTCCTCTGAAGAGAAAAATCTGCGACCGACACTACCAACACACACACACACACACAAGACGGGAGCCGAGCTGGGCTTGCAGGGAGTTGCGTGCCGCCCGCCCGCCTGCGGCGTCGCACCCGCCACCGACCGCGGCCTCTCCGTCGCCCTGCGGTGCTCGGCGGCCTCCGTCATGCGCTCCTGCAGGAGGGCGCCAGGCACATGCAGTGGGAGGTCGACCACGACAAACCTTCCACAAGGAACCCAACCCTGAGACCCCAGGGCGTCCATTGATTTTTGGCGTGGGAACGTCACGCCTTGAACTGCAAAACCATCGACACCCGAGAAACCCAGGGCACCCTGGAGGCAAGCAGCGTGTTTCTTGGCGTGGGTCTCCACTGCAGTCATCGTGCTGCCATAAGGATTGCTGACTAAGGAACGCAAGGGTTGTTCTGGCCACGGTGGGCCTAGGCCACAACCAAGTTTCACAACAGGAGTCCAAGGAACCGCCCGAAAGCCCGAGCACCCCTCCTGAGCCCAACGCGGTCCTTCTTTCAGCGTCTTGGCTGTATAATACATACCTGCGCAAACCCGCCCGCCCGTGGGGGGAGCAGCCCTCCCTAGGAGAAGTTTTCGGCTCCAGAGCGTCAGCGTCGTCGTCGTCGTCCGCCTTCAGGGTCGGCGGCACCGTCCGCATGGCCTTCGCAATACAAACCTGCAAACATCGGCGCACGCGTGCTCCCTCCTGGCTTGGCGCCAGGAGGACCAGCCTGGCCAGGATCGGCGAGTGCACTCCCAGGCATCTCGGCCTCCATAGGGCCCTCGCTGGGCCCAGGGGCCGTCAAGAGAGCGACTCGGGAGGAAAGCTGGACCTGGGGAGAGGGTCGGGACTTCCAGGGACCCTCCGAACGTGGACGGGGACGTGGAGGGGGAAGGCGATGCTTCGCGGGCCACCCGCGGGAGCAGACGGAGCAGAAGACGCACCTGCACCTGCGCACTGGCTCACCCCTCTGAGGGTGCCAGAGGCCAAGACCCCGACGTCACGGTTTGCAGGTCAGGGCTCAGGCCCTGAACCCCACCACCCCCCTGGGCGTAGGCGATTCAACGGGAGGCGTCTTCTTTCTTCAAGGACTCCTCTCTCCCCCTGCTCGAGGGAGGGGCTGATCACTGTTCCCTGATAGTAAACACACCCTTGCCCGAGCGACCAGCAGCCAATCAGGACCAATGAACCCCCACCCCCCCACACCAGCATCCCCGTCAGAAAACAATGTGAAGTTTGGGGCAAAATCTTGGGTCATTATCGCGCGTTGGTTTTACAAAGGCGGCTGGGGTGCCCGCATGTTGCCTGCGGGGCGCGAGACCAGCACCCCTGTCAGAAAACAAAGCAAGATGCACTGCGAGACAAAGTCCGGATCATGCGCGGGCACCCCGCGATCACTGCGCATTGGTTGTTGACTGGGACGGCGGGGGTGCTGGCATATTGCCTGCTATGTGCAGACCCACCAGACGCTACGATGGCCACCCCGCCGCGATTGCGCACTGGTTCTCGACAAGGGTAGCGTGGGCGACACATGTCCTGATGTGTCCTGCCACGTGCGCAGGCGCACCTGACACACTATGCGCGTGCCTCGAACGAGGCGCACCTGGCGCGGCTGGATCATGCGGCACAGCGCACGGAGGCGATCATCCACTGGACCTTGTGAGCGGCCGCGGGCTGGTCGAACCTGATGCTGAACTGGTCGATCAGCTTCCTCGCGCGCACCGTCCACATCCCTCCATGTCGTTCCACTGCAGCATTCTGCTGCGGCGTCGCCGCAGATGTCGCTATCAAACGACAACCCATGTCCTCGAGTTCCTTGGAGAACTCTCGCTCGAACTCGCCTCCCCCATCAAAGATGACTCGATGAGGCTCGCCAAAAGGCGCAATCCAAATCTGCAGTAGTCGAGCGAAAAGAACCGACGGGTGCCTTGACGCGACAGTGCCGCACATCGTAAAAGCTGAGGCCAGGTCGACGGCGTCGAGGTATACCAGCTGGTTGCCAGCGTAGTCGGCCAGGGCGAACAGGTCCACGCCGATGGAGTCGTTGAAATCCCTGTCCAGTCTGATCCGTCCTGGTAGGCGTGGTAGCGGTCGCTGATGTGCTGCACAACCCTCGCAGTAGAGGTTGAGAGCCATATCGATGAATCTTTGCGATCCACCAATTACACGAATGGCCCGGGCAAGTGAATCATTGGACGGGTGCCCCGTGTTCACGTGGAGCTGCATGATGGCGGACCGTAGTGTCCGCTCCTCCGCGGCCGTGAGCGATGGCTCCTGAGCGGCTGCGGCGGCTGGAACCGTCCTTCTTCTTGCCCTTCCCGTCGTCGATGTAGGGCGAGCTTCTCGCACAGGTCGGCGGTTCGGACGTCGCAGCTGCTCGGCTAGCACCGTCGCGAGCTTGGTCGTGTAGTTCTCGCTGCGTTTCGCGTTCTTCCCGCGGGCCTCTGCGCGCGGGCGCCCCCCGCTGCAGAAGCGCCTGAGCGAGTCGTCGAACCCGAAATGGTCGGCGATGGTCCGCCGCGGCTTCTTGATGTGGATCCCATTCTTTGTCTTGAGGTTGAACGCGCAGCCGTCGAAGTCCACGACGCGCGGAAGCTGCTCCATCAGCTGCTTGGCACTGGCGTTCTTGTTGGGGCCCCATCCGTCGCAGTACCTCGGCCACTCGAACGAGACGGCGAGCTGGGCGCCGAACTCCTCGCGCAGCCGTGACATGGACTGCAGGAACAGGCCGATCATCTGCCTCGACTTGTCCCGATCCCTTTTCAACTTGGGGATCTTGCTCGGGTCGATCTTGACGACGAGTCGTTGTGGCGATGTCCACGGCTGGCAGGGGAACGCAGCGTGAACTCGCACACTCTTGCCCGCGGCAAGGCTTCCGGATCCTGCCCTCCAGCTTCTGGGCCACAAAATGCTTGGAGAGGTCGAAGCCTGGAAGACCGCACCTGACAGCAATTCCTCCCCTTCTTCAAGACGGCGCTGAGCTTGCTGTCCGGGTTGCAGCACCACTCGTAGAGAACGGTGCTGTTCGCGATGAAGGTCGGGTTGGATCTGGTTGTAGACTTGGCCAGATGAGTAATCAAGGCCTGGCCGATCTTGCGCGGCTGGATGCCGCTCTTGCTGGCAACGAAGACTGAGCGCTTGCAAGCGATCAGCTGCGACTTCGCCCCCTTCTTGAGCGCCCATTGGCGATGGCGCCCTGGCCGTGGCTCAGGGTCACGGGCGTGCCGAAGACGCAGTCCGAGCATAACGCCCGGTGGCTACAGGCCTCGAAGGTCGTCTCGCCCCAGGCGATGCAGTCCTGCAGGGGCTCGGTCAGGCACGTCGTGGGGTAGGTCGTCTGCGACAGCGTCGCTACGGAGGTTCGGAGCTGGAGCTGCAGTGGAGCAGCAGACCAGAGCTGAGGCTACGGCCGAAAGTAGCCGCGACCCCTTCGGTCGCCGAGTCTGTGTGACGAGGTTGTTGATGATGTCGATCAGCGCACTGGTCCTGGCAGCGTTGTCGACCGTGGGCCGGTCGCCCGTCCTCGTCTTCCGGTCCCGTCGGTCGAGCGTCTTCTCGAGCTCCACGTACAGGGTCTTGTCCAGCTGTCGCTACCTTCCAGACGAGCTGGCTGCACTGGGCGGTTGCTCCGCGCCGGCGTCCTTGATAGCCTGCCAGTCCTCTGGCTGCAACTCGATTGCGGGATATCCCGCGGCGCTCGTGGTGAGCTTCTGGGTGGCGTTCCCGATGCGGATCTGGCCTTTCCAGAGATGTCGATCTTGGAAGGCTGGATGACATCGCGGCCGATGAGCGGGCCCAGCGCGGGGCTGTCCGCGACGCTGAACACGATGCGGCCAGCCTGGCCGCACACCACAAGCGGCGCTGTGACGCGCAGCTTGCTCGGGAGAGCACCCCCGTTGCCGAACCTGCAGACCTCGCCCTCCAGCTCCGAGGATCTGGCTGGCAAGTCCCATCCTCGCGAGGATGTCCTTGCAGTTGTCGCACCACTTCTTGCCCGAGACGCAGAAAAGGCAGGCGGTGTCGACCACGCCGACGCCTTTGCCCACGGGCTTGTCACTGCCGATCGCGACGTTCACGTTCGGCAGGTGGTGGATGAGCCGCTCCGAGACGCAAGTCTCTGGGGGCGGCGTGACTGATCCCTGCGGGTGCATGGCGATCTCCTCGTCCGCGAACTGGACCTGCTCGGTGATGCGCGCCTGGCGGTGAGGACGGCCTCCGCGACCTCCTCGTCCACAGCCCTTTGACTTGCCGTCCTTGGGCGCGAACTTGCGAGCACCTGGCGCGGGGCACTCCTTGCCCCCTGTCCAGCGTCCTGTCTCGCCGCAGCCCCAGCAAGAAGCGTTCTTCTTGCGCTGGTCGACCGGCCCTGTAGCTTGGTCGGGCGGCGGGGCGGTGCGGACCTTGACTTGCCGCGGCCCTCGAGGGCCCCCCGGGCCGATCTGATGGTGACCATGGCCTCGGGAGTAGCGGCAAGTTCCGCTGCAGCAGCTTCGACCTTGGCAGAGTCGTCACCGTTGAACAGCTCGGAGACGTCTACGTCGGAGGCCTCGAGCTCGGCGCTGAAGGCCTCGAGCTCCTGGCGAACGATGTCCTGGACGTCGGCCCCGTCCTCGTCGCCCCCCCCCCTGCTCTTCGTCGCTCTCGTCGCCTGGCTCGTCGACGACGCTGGTAGAGCGCCCCCCGGCGGCTGGAGGGAACGTTGCTGCGCCAGCCGCCTTGCGAGCGCGACTGATTGGCCCATGACCTCGGCGGGGGGGCGCGGCGCTCCGACGCGTGGATATCCGGGAACATCCTGACCAGCAGCCCGCGGATGCGCTGGTAGCCGAAGCGCTCGTCGGGGAGGTTGCCCGCGACACGCTCGCGGCGCTCTGCCGTGGGCCCAGCCCTGCGCAGCAGGAACCATCCCGCCGCGCCGCCCAGCGCGTTGAGGTCCACCTCGTCCTCGCGCACCTGCTGCAGTCCAGCCTCGAAACGGATGAGCCAATCCGTCATGCGTTCACCTCTTCGTCGATGATGTTGAGTCGACTCGAAGAACTTCTCGAGGGCCTCGCACTTCTGGACAGGCTTCTGCTGGCCCAACCTAGCCTCCAGGTGTTGCAACACATTCTCGATGCCGACCTGGTTCCCACTGCGTTTCCTGTCATCGGGGTCTTCGATGTCCACCGCGGCTGCTGGACGCAGATGCGCCTCCGACATATTTAGCGCTGCACCGCGGGCTGTCCCACTGAGCTTCAGCACGAGCTTTGATGCGAGACTGTGAGCCACGGCGAGGTTCTCACTGCGCTTCCAGAGCTTGACCTCCAGTTTGTAGCCCCTCCACTTTGCCGGGTCGCCATCCCATGTAGGGATGGTGTTGCACCCGTAATTATCCGTCATTATGTCAAGAATGAGGTAGTGAGCCGCGCCGCTGACACTGGCATCGACAGAGAAATACGCGTCGACGCTGGCGTCGCTGACGCTGGCGTTGGAGAAGTAGACGTAGATGCTGGCGTCGCTGACGCTGGCGTTGGAGAAGTAGGCGTAGATGATGGCGTCGCGGACGCTGGCGTTGGAGAAGTAGGCGCTGATGCTTGCGTCGCTGACGCTGGCCTGGGAGAAGTAGGCGAAGTAGTCGTCGACGACGGCGTCGCTGATGCTGTCGTGAGAGACGTAGGCGTTGATGTCGGCGTCGCTGACGCTGACGCACGGGAAGTAGGCGTCGGCGACGGCGTCGCTGATGCTGTCAGAGAAGTAGGCGTAGATGTCGGCGTCGCTGACGCTGACGCACGGGAAGTAGGCGTTGGAGGCGTAGATGACGGCGCCGCTGACGCTGATGTAGGAGTTGGCAGGGTAGGCGTAGATGTCGGCGTCGCTGCCGCTGACGTGGACGATGCTAGCGTCGCTGACGCTGGAGAGGGCGCTGAGCAACAGCGCGACCAGGCTGGTCAGGAAGCCGCTGGGCTTCGATTCAAGAAGACGCGTCGCAGACGCCGTCTTGCAATATGCACGGCCGCCGGCCGGGATGGCGGATCGGCCTCGCTCCGCTACCGCTGTGATATGGATCGGCGCGCAGCGCCGGGGATGCTTCTGCTGTGAGCGCGGCTCGAAGAACTGGCGTAGCGCGAAGGCCAAGGGCCCTAAGAAATGAAAATGGCAGCGGCGAGCAAGGAATGAAACCGCAGGCCCCTCGAGGTTTCTGGGAAACCCCTCTCGGGCCTCTTACATTCCTGGGGAGTGAGCTTGATTCACAAAATTGCCCCCCAGTGGAGGGACGAACCCGACTTAACCCTAACCGAAGCCTTGCCCACCAAAGACTTACACCGCTCACACGACAAGAGCTCAGGCATGGGGCCGATCGGGGCATCCACAACGATCGGGGTGGCTTACGGAATGACAACACATGGAGCTGGGCCAACCCAGCAAGAAAAATAACCCTGACTTGGACGTGGGGCACGAAGGTGGACGACTGGAAGTCCACCGTCACAGACTGCCCGGCCTTCGCGAGGCCGACCGAGATTATGAATCACTCGTGTATCCAAGGGTCCCCCGTGCCAAAGCAAGTCGGAGAGCCTGTCTCAAAGAGCTACGCCCGCCGATTGCGAACGAACTTTCGGTGGAGCTCCCTATGGGGCCACGAAAAGCCGTACTGGGTGGCGCGGGACGCATGTGATCACAGCCACTGGGTGGGGCCTTCGGTGGAGCTCCCTATGGGGCCACTTGCGCCAGCCGGGGCCTGTAGCAGCAGCGCTACCCATCACCGCCACGGCGAGCGCGAGGACGGGGTAATGGCTCGCCGTGGGCCCTACGGCAGCGCCCGCCGCTTGCTGCTGCCCGTCCCAGCCAGCAGATCAAGCGCCCAGCACCAGCGCCCTGCCCGGCCAGCAACGGCGCCGAACCTGCCCAGCAGCGGCCCCCGGGCAGCGCCCTCCCACCGCCTTCGCCGAGGGCGTCCAGCGGCTGCCGCGCTGCTGGCGTCGCCATTGCCCGCTGCAGCTGCAGGCCGCCACGCGTCGGGCCTGCATCAGGACAAGTGCGAGCGCAACGAACAAATCCCTCTGTGACCAGCACGACAAGAAACAGCAGCACCATGCGCAGCAGCACCAGCGCCACCAGCAGTGCCTCTGTCAGTAGCACGTGAAAGACTAGCAGCACCATCAGTACGACCAGCCCGGCAGGAACCAGCAGCACCAGCAGCAGCAGGGCGAGCACCACCAGCAGCACTCCAAGGATGCGACCAACCCTAACGCCACTGGTGGCATCTCTGTGACCATAACGACAGCAAACAGCATCACCACGCACAGCAACACCAGCGCCACAATATGCAGCGTTGTGACGAACACGACGGGACGCAGCAGCGCGACCAACACGACAGGAAACAGCAGAACCACGCGCCCCAACACGAGCACAACCAGCACTGCGACCAACGCAACGGAACCTGCCGCACAAGCGTAACAAGCAGTACCACTCTGACCAGCACGACGGGAACCAGCTGCACCAAACGCAGCAGCACAAACGCAACCAGCAGCGCCAGTGTGATCAGCACGACGGGAAGCAGCAGCACTACGCGCAGCACTACAATCAACACCAGCAGCACCCCTGTGACCAGCACGGCGAGAGACAGCAACACTACGTTCACCAGCCCAAGCGCATCGAGCAATATCAGTGTGACGAGCAGCACCAGAGACAGCAGCCTTCCGCGAAGCAGCAGCGCCAGTGCGACCAGCACGAAGGAAGACCCAGCACAACCAGTAGCACTACCGGCGCCATCAGCAGCACCACTGCGACCAGCCCAACGGGAAACAACAGCGCTACGCGCACCAGCACAAGTCCAGCGAGGAGTACTACTGTGAGGAGCATCGCTGGAAGCAGCACCACTGTGACCAGCACAATGAAAAGCAGCAGCACCAGCAGCACCAGTGTGACCAGCAAAATGATAGCCAGTGGCACAACACGAAATAATCCAAGCGGCACCTCGGCACCAAACTGGCCGCGGATGGGGCCGCGATCTGGAAGCTTGCGCAGCCCACAAGCTTGCGAGGTTGCGTCTTCCCCTGGGACGCGAATGGCGCTCGCAATCAAGATGTGGCAGGCGCCCAAGCGAAAGCGATGGTACGGTCTATGATCAAGGCGAGAAGGGCATTCGCAATCAAGGGTGCAGCCGCCGCCAAAGCGGCAGCACAGCATTCGCAGTCGTATGTTTGGCCGGCGCCAGAACAGCCCGCACTGAGGCGAGAACAACAACCGCAATCATGCGCGCGGCCAGCACCCAGGACCTGGACAAAACTAGCATTCCGAGTCGAGAGTACGGCCAGCGTTGCGGCGAGAACAATTATCGCAATCATGCGTGCGGCAGGCGCCTAGGCGAAAGCAGCATTTTCAATCAGATGTGGCTGGTGCCGCAGCGAGAACGACATGCTCAATGAAAGATGTCGCCGGCGCCTGGGCGACAGCGACAGAGTTTATCAGACATGTGACCGCCGCCACAGCGAGAACGACATGCTCAATGAAAGATGTGGCAGGCGCCTTTGCGAAGGCAGCACTTTCCATCAGACATGTGACAGGCGCCACGGCGAGAACGACATGCTCAATGAAGGATGTCGTCGGCGCCACAGCAACAATAACAGATTCAATCAGACGTGGCCAGCGCCAAGGCGAGAACGACATGCTGAATAAGGGATGTCGCCGGCGTCTCGGCGGCAGCCACATTTTCAATTCAAGATCTGGCCAGCGCCAAGGCGAGAACGACATGCTCAATGAAGGATGTCGTCAGCGCCTCGGCGACAGCAGCACTTTCAATCAGACATTTGGCTGGCGCTAAGGCGAGAAGGACATTCTTAATAAAGGACGTCGTTGGCCCCTAACCGGCAGCCACATTTTCAATCAGAGATATGGCCCACGCACATGCGAGAACAACGCGCTCAATGAAGGATGTCGCTGGCGCCTAGGCGGCAGCAGCATTTTTAATCAAAGACGCGGCCCACGCACAAGCAGGAGCATCATTCCGAGACAATTGCGTCGTCGCCAGAATGCAAGTGTCACGCCCATTCCGCGCGGGCTGGGCTCGGGGTCACCAAGGTCTGGGCTACATTAGGTGGGTAGTCTACGTTAGGGGGGGTTGTGTAGGCCCTGGCTGGCGCACCCCCTCCTCGGGGGCGACCGCCGCTGAGCGGTGGGCCGTGCCTGGGGCAGGGGGGGGGGTGCGCCAGCTCCCGACCGCAGAGCACCCGCGGCAAAGGGACCCGCGTGACGCGAGGAGGGGGAGGAGGCGGGAGGAGGAGGGAGGAGGAGGGAAGAGGGAGGAGGAGGGAGGAGGGAGGGGGAGGAGGAGGAGGGAGGAGGGAGGAGGAGGAGGGAGGAGGGAGGAGGGAGGAGGAGGAGGAGGAGGAGAGGAGGAGGAGGAGGAGGAGGAGGAGGAGGAGGAGGAGGGGAGCGACGAGGCGGGGAAGAGGAGCCAGGGGGCACGGGTGCGCTCTGAGGCGGAGAGAGCTCCTCCGCGTCCGCGATGGCGCGCGCCTCGTCCTCCTCCTCCCCGCGCACGGCGCGGCCAGGCTCGTGCTCGGCCCGGCGCGCCGCCGGGGCGAAGCTCTTGGCCTTGGCCTCGGCCTTGACGTTGTCCTTGGCCTTGGTCTCGACGGTCGACCGCCCCAACCCAACCCGAAGACCAGAATGTTACCCGAATTTCGGGTTGGGGGGGGTACGGGGTCCACGTGCTTTTTCAATGTTCCCCGACTCCTTGACACTGGAAATGGATGGCAAGTTGAGGCCTTCGGGTTTGGTTGGGGTGGTTTGGTAGGTGGTGACTTTCTCTCGAGGAAGAGAGAGCAGCACAAAGAGGAGCTTTCGGAGGTCCGAGCTGGATGACATTGACACAGGAGCACAAGCTGGCCCTTGGCAAGTGTACAGACCCTCGTGGCCTCGGCAAGGGGAGGGGGTATAACGGGGGGGGGGTATACACCATGCTAGGGCCCAAGATGGCCCTGGCCAGGCATGGTGGTGGTGCACAGGTACCTTCTGCGTACCACAGATGTCCATCCGCGGATGGAGGGCAAGGGAGCCGTCTCTCCGTCGTTGGAGGAAGTAAAACCCTCATGAACTTCACTTTTCGGAGCTCCACTCCGGATTTCTTGGAGCGGCGCTGGGTCCCCTGGCTGCGCCTCCGGCGCGGCCCCTTGGCGCGCTCCGCGCGCTGGGGAGGAGGACCCAGCGCCGATCCAAGAAGTCCGCGAGGGGCTCCGAACGTCTCTTTATGCCGATTCTTCTTTTTCATATTACTCTTAGCATGCGAATGGCTTTGGCAGCCGCCCCGCCCCCGCCTTGCTATCCACCAGTCTCGTCCCGCTGAGGTTCTGCCCTTCCTCTGCATCCTGGGAGCGGGTGTCGCACGCTGGGCCGAAGAGCCAGCAGTAGGTGGCCTCGCAGCCCCGCTGTAGGAGCTCGGGCACGTCGTGGGCGAATCCGTAGCACCGGCCGGCTGCAGCCGAGCCGTTGTTCCAGACGAGATTCCTGTAGCCCGTCGACCCAGCGGCGTTCGCGCAGTCGACGTAGGATCCCACCTTGCCGAGATCGTGCCAGCCACTCCGTGGCGGGCGGGCGAACCTGCGGGCGGCACCGCGCGGCGCGCAGGCCTGCCTGCTGGCCAGCGCGTGCGCCTCCTGGTGCTCCTGCTCCAGGGCCTGGCGCGCCTGCTCCCGCTCCAGCTTCTCCTTCGGCGGCGCGCAAAGCAGAGGCTGGAGGGATTCCTGGGATTCCTGGTGGCGGGCTCCTGAGTGCAAGCTCAGCCCCTATACCTCATTCACGCCTCAGGGAAACTCATGCCGTATTTAGGCGGGAGTCCCCTCTTCAACCTGCTGAGATTCTGCTTCCCTGTAGTGCTACAGGGCCTGGGGTGCACCTGGTCACGCAGAGGGCAGATCACAGCCAGATTCACAGGGGTCCCTACACAAAAATTTCCACATGCAGCACAAAAAAGAACTCCTCGGTACACAAACAACTGGTGTGAGGAATGGCACAGTGAAACACTCGGATGATGACCGCCATCGGGCCCGACTGGCTTCCACGGACCGATCCCAGCGGAGGGCCCATCCCTCGAAGCGGGACCCAACACCACGGGGCCAGGACAGGCCTCAGGCCAAAACTGATCCAAGCGGCCTTTCAAGGCAGGGAAACGCCTGGCACATAACTTACATTTAAAAACCGTGCTCATCTTCAGGACATCATGTCCTTGTTGGACGAGGCGGCATTTACGTTGGTTGGCACTATTAACCCTAGCCCTCTCTCGGTGTTGCTCGCGGCCTAGTCTATCTTGGCGGGTACGACCACAGGTCAACGACACGTGACGACTGATAGCTAGGAGCCGCTGCAACACGAGGACACAACAGGAATCGACGCTATGCACTGTTCTGACTAATTCAGGATCCAAAGCCCCCCATTCGGCAGCCACCCCAGCGAAGACATCTGCAACCGAATTAGCAACAAGGCCGTGGGGAGAGATCTGGTACTGGTCGATCTGTCTCCTGGTCGGATGACTTTTAACCCAGGTCGCACGAACATCACCTGATCGTCCCTCAAGAGTGGTCCAAACTTTTTGCCATATGTCCAGCATGGTAGAGTCATCCACCCGTGCTCCTTTCCTTCGGAAGGCCAAGACAATAGGCTGGTAATCAATGTAAACGTGAATTGGGCCCTCGGTGTAAACCAAGAGCTGATGTAGTGCAAATAGTTCTGCTCGAGGAGAGCTCTGCACACACATACCAACAGTAGGCAGGGTCCCACAAAGGATACCTCGAACTTCTAGGGAATCAGGGTCCAGGTGAACAACAGACCATCCGCATCTCCTCAACCTCCAATCCTTGCCGCGTTCTCCTCCCGAACCGTCAGTCCCAAACACTCCTCCAACAATTTTAACTCCAGAGCTGATGGACTCAAGGAAAGATCCCCAGGCCCAAACGCGGAGCTGCCCATCAGGAAGGTCATCCAACGTCCAGCCCATGGGGACCAACCCTCGGGTCCAAAAACAAGAGGCGTCAGTGACCCCTTGGCGGGCATCATCAGTAAACCTATCAGTGAGTCGGATCGCAGAATCCTCGATATTTTTGTTGTCTTCACACTCCCAAAACCGGTGAAAAGGGGTCTCTGGGGCCAAACCACACCTGGGACAAACTCCGTTGCTTTCATACCCCGAGTCTTTTAACCTCATTTCAGGCCACTGCCCACCTATGATCAGGTTGGTGAGCAGTGCAGCTCCTTCTCCATCGCCATTCTTCTTCAAAGAGACGTGGAGCTGCTTAAAGACTGTAAAATCAACACCTCCACGGAGTCCTTCTCCACAGAAGTGATCTGCAGCTCGTTGCCAAACTTCACGCGACACTGCAAGGAACACTGCGTGCCACAGGAAAAATCTGAAATCGCCCGAGTCAACTTTCACGTGGTACGGCCCAGGGAACTTCCAGGAGATAGGGGATTCAGGACGCCCATGGAGGTCCAGGATACAAACAATAACCGCCGCAATAGGTCCCCTAACCCGTCGCCATCGTGAGGTCGGGTCGATTCCATTAAACCTGTTCACGAGGTTCGACCAAACTTTGTTAATACTCATCTTCTGCTTTGGCATCAGGACGGACCAGGTTCTCCCCCACTCAAGCAGGTGTTCATACCGTAATCTAAACCCAGGGTCATCTCGCATCGGGTTATTAATCGACAAAATCGTAGTGGAGCAGGCGCCTGAAGCCCACAAGCCTGATGCTTTCGCAGCTTGACCTCGAAGCCGCTGTACAAGAGAGGGCGGGAGGCCAAGCACTTGGTGACTCCAAGTGGAAACAGCCTGCACGGCTGGCTTAAACAAGCGCTTCGCCTTCTTATTAATGCCTGCCAGGAAAGACAATTTCTTGGAGCGTCGGGAACCCTCAGCCTGCCGTTGTTTCATTTTCCACATTGTCCTCCTCCTTCCAGCCGTGGTACCAACGCCTAAATCCTTAGCAGTATCTTTCACCATCAGAGGGAGCCCAAGTTTAACACATTTCTGGTGCACAATCCTAGTCAAACCAACACTAGAGCCCACGATACATGATTTAGACGAAATAACACATCCTCTGTCAACCAGAGCTTGGTGCAACTCAACGATAGCTGGGACAATATTATGAGCAACTGCTTCAGCACTCCCTTGAAGGGATTGGGTTAAGTCATCAACGTATGCAAAGATGGGGACCTTCGGGATTCTCTGGTGGGCAGCTTCCAAGATGTCATACAAGTAACATTTAATCCACGGCATAGACTGGGAGCACCCTGCCAGGATTGATTGTCCTGCTCCAAGGACTCGAGACACTACAGATTCCACCTCAAGCACCCTGGGGGCGGTGTGGATCAGCAGCCCCATGTACAGCATGAGGGCGGAATAATCAACCTCTCTGGCCAGCCTGACCAGCTTAGAGGGGTCAATGGAGTCAAAAAAATTTTCCATATCCCAGTGGGCCGAAAGGGACTGGCATCCTTCTTCACGGGCGATTTCGTGGACCAACTCGCGAACCATGGCCGCTCTCAGGGCCGAGGAGTTTTTAACGGCGGTATCCCAAAACGCAACATGGGAGTCAGTCCAGTCCAAAATACGGTCACCCCTGAGTTTAGTATACATCCTATACAGGGTGGGGCACTTGGTGATAGGCCTTTCCGAGCTCACAGTCTTAGGGATCAGGGCCACAAGACACAAGTACACCTGGACGGGGAAACTCTGGGTATACTCGAACGCATTGAAAAGGTCACTCAGGTCCTGCAAAGCTTCTGGCGGCAGCTGCAAAATGTCCTTAGGCGACCAACTGTCGACTCCAAGGCTCGTTCCTGCAGGGAAATACTTGCAAACCCGCACGATGTCCTGCGGTTGGATGGGGATTAAACCCGTGGCCTCAACGGCCGCCTCGTGTCTAAGCTGACCCATGCTATACACGAGGGAATCGATTTGGCTACTGGATGGGGTCCACCACTTCTCCCAGAACAGCTCTCGCATCTCGGCAGGCGCCGGCCCTGCATCCGCAGGCAGGGTTCCCGCGACGCCTGAGGAGCAGGGGTGCTCGTGAGACGCCCTCCCCCCCCCCTCCCGGCCCCCTCTGCGCGCGGCTGGCTCCTGCTCGAGCGCCGTGCGCGCCTGCTCCTGCTCCAGCCGATCCTGCTCGAGCCTGCGCTTCTCCTGGCAGGGGGCGGCGGCGCGGAGCGGGCGTCGGGAGCCAGGGCCTCCAGGCGCTCTCTGCGGGTTCCCCTCTCTGCGTCCTCGTCCTCCTCCTCCTGCCCCTCATCCCCTCCTGCGCACGGCCCTGGGCAGTGCTGGATGGCAGACAAACGAGACGCAGCGCCGATCGGCTCCGCCGACTCCTCGTCACCCTGCTCGTCCTCCCTTCTCCTCGTCTTCCTCCTCCTCCCGAGGGCAGATCCTCCTCCGCCGCCTCCTCCTCGTCCTCTTCCACCTTCCCATCAAAGCGCCGAGACGAGGAATCCAGCGCAGACACGCACGCCAAATTAGCTTCGGCTCCTTGCGGCCAGTCGGTGGCACCCTCGGCTTCGCAGCGCGGGCAGGTGTGTGGAGTCCCATCCCAATGAGAACCGGGTTGAGGGTAGCCCCCTCAGACCCACCCTCACGAGCGCGAGCAAGTAGAGCCTGCCGAGGTCCCGTTCCCCCCACCCACTCCTCGTTCGCTCGTACGCTCGTTTTCGTGGCCTTAGGGACGGAGCCTGAGCCCCAAGCAACTAGAACAGAGAGCAGCGAGGGGGAAACAAAAGAGAGGCAGCGTTCGCAGCAGCGGCGCGTCCCCCACGAGCAACTCCAGGAGTCCCCAACACACACACACACACACACACACACACACACACATGCACAAGCCCCAAACCCACTCCTCCGCCCCCTTCGAGCGCACCCCTCTCGGCCGGAAGAGTGGCTTTGGAGCAACCTCGGCGCATGTGCCACATACGAATAATCCGTGAGTCTCACGTCTGCTGTAAGCGCTGCACCCTGCTGCACGACCCAACGGTGGCAGGCTCTCAAGACACGGCACTGTCAACCAGGCAACTTGGGGACTCCTGGAGGACGGCTCAAGAGATTGTGGGACGGACGACAACCGACCACGGGTCGGAACTTCGAGTGCAGCGCGGCCCTAAAGCTCAGAAAGGCCCGGTGACGGTGTCGCGCAACTCCGTGCCCCTAGCGGCCAGAGGGAAGGCCAACATGATCTTCAGTTGTTAGGAAGGGGTACGAGTTCCACACGTGGTTCTTTCAAGGTTCCCCGACGCCCCTTTCTCTGGGAATGGAGGGCAAAACTGGGCCTTCGGGTTGGGTTGGGGCGGTTTGGTGGGTGGTGAAAACTGCTGTCGATCTCCACCCATGCCCATCTCCATCCTCCTGAGACCACGAGACGCTGCCTCCCCTCCCTGGCAGGGGCCAGCGCCGCGGGCTCCTGCTCCAGGGCCTGGCGCGCCTGCTCCCGCTCCAGCTTCTCCTTCGGCGGCGCGCAAAGCAGAGGCTGGAGGGAGGGGGGAGGGCTCCCTTGGGAGGCTGCTGCTTCTCGGCAGGCGCCGGCCCTGCATCCGCAGGCAGGGTTCCCGCGACGCCTGAGGAGCAGGGGTGCTCGTGAGACGCCCTCCCCCCCCCCCCGCCCGGCCCCCTCTGCGCGCGGCTGGCTCCTGCTCGAGCGCCGTGCGCGCCTGCTCCTGCTCCTGCCGATCCTGCTCGAGCCTGCGCTTCTCCTGGCAGGGGGCGGCGGCGCGGAGCGGGCGTCGGGAGCCAGGGCCTCCAGGCGCTCTCTGCGGGTTCCCCTCTCTGCGTCCTCGTCCTCCTCCTCCTGCCCCTCCTCCCCTCCTGCGCACGGCCCTGGGCAGTGCTGGATGGCAGACAAACGAGACGCAGCGCCGACCGGCTCCGCCGACTCCTCGCCGCCCTGCTCGTCCTCCCTTCTCCTCGTTATCCTCCTCCTCCCGAGGGCAGATCCTCCTCCGCCGCCTCCTCCTCGTCCTCTTCCACCTTCCCATCAAAGCGCCGAGACGAGGAATCCAGCGCAGACACGCACGCCAAATTAGCTTCGGCTCCTTGCGGCCAGTCGGTGGCACCCTCGGCTTCGCAGCGCGGGCAGGTGTGTGGAGTCCCATCCCAATGAGAACCGGGTTGAGGGTAGCCCCCTCAGACCCACCCTCACGAGCGCGAGCAAGTAGAGCCTGCCGAGGTCCCAGTCCCCCCACCCACTCCTCGTTCGCTCGTTCGTTCGTTCTCGTGGCCGCCTAAGGGACGGAGCCTGAGCCCAAAACAACTAGAACAGAGAGCAGCGATGGGGGAAACAAAAGAGAGGCAGCGTTCGCAGCAGCGGCGCGTCCCCCACGAGCAACTCCAGGAGTCCCCCACACACACACACACACACACACACACACACCATGCACAAGCCCCAAACCCACTCCTCCGCCCCCTTCAAGCGCACCCCTCTCGGCCGGAAGAGTGGCTTTGGAGCAACCTCGGCGCATGTGCCACATACGAATAATCCGTGAGTCTCACGTCTGCTGTAAGCGCTGCACCCTGCTGCACGACCCAACGGTGGCAGGCTCTCAAGACACGGCACCGTCAACCAGGCAACTTGGGGACTCTTGGAGGACGGCTCAAGAAATTGTGGGACGGACGACAACCGACCACGGGTCGGAACTTCGAGTGCAGCGCGGCCCTAAAGCTCAGAAAGGCCCGGTGACGGTGTCGCGCAACTCCGTGCCCCGAGCGGCCAGAGGGAAGGCCAACATGATCTTCAGTTGTTAGGAAGGGGTACGAGTTCCACACTTGGTTCTTTCAAGGTTCCCCGACGCCCCCTTCTTTGGGAATGGAGGGCAAAACTGGGCCTTCGGGTTGGGTTGGGGCGGTTTGGTGGGTGGTGAAAACTGCTGTCGATCTCCACCCATGCCCACCTCCATCCTCCAGAGACCACGAGACGCTGCCTCCCCTCCCTGGCAGGGGCCAGCGCCGCGGGCTCCTGCTCCAGGGCCTGGCGCGCCTGCTCCCGCTCCAGTTTCTCCTTCGGCGGCGCGCACAGCAGAGGCTGGAGGGAGGGGGAGGGCTCCCTTGGGAGGCTGCTGCTTCTCGGCAGGCGCCGGCCCTGCATCCGCAGGCAGGGTTCCCGCGACGCCTGAGGAGCAGGGGTGCTCGTGAGACGCCCTCCCCCCCCCCCCGCCCGGCCCCCTCTGCGCGCGGCTGGCTCCTGCTCGAGCGCCGTGCGCGCCTGCTCCTGCTCCAGCCGATCCTGCTCGAGCCTGCGCTTCTCCTGGCAGGGGGCGGCGGCGCGGAGCGGGCGTCGGGAGCCAGGGCCTCCAGGCGCTCTCTGCGGGCTCCCCTCTCTGCGTCCTCGTCCTCCTCCTCCTGCCCCTCCTCCCCTCCTGCGCACGGCCCTGGGCAGTGCTGGATGGCAGACAAACGAGACGCAGCGCCGACCGGCTCCGCCGACTCCTCGCCACCCTGCTCGTCCTCCCTTCTCCTCGTCTTCCTCCTCCTCCCGAGGGCAGATCCTCCTCCGCCTCCTCCTCCTCGTCCTCTTCCACCTTCCCATCAAAGCGCCGAGACGAGGAATCCAGCGCAGACACGCACGCCAAATTAGCTTCGGCTACTTGCGGCCAGTCGGTGGCACCCTCGGCTTCGCAGCGCGGGCAGGTACGTGGAGTCCCATCCCAATGAGAACCGGGTTGAGGGTAGCCCCCTCTGACCCACCCTCACGAGCGCGAGCAAGTAGAGCCTGCCGAGGTCCCGTTCCCCCCACCCACTCCTCGCTCGCTAGTTCGCTCGCTCTCGTGGCCTTAGGGACGGAGCCTGAGCCCCAAGCAACTAGAACAGAGAGCAGCGAGGGGAAACAAAAGAGAGGCAGCGTTCGCGGCAGCGGCGCGTCCCCCACGTGCGACTCCAGGAGTCCACACACACACACACACACACACCATGCACAAGCCCCAAACCCACTCCTCCGCCCCCTTCGAGCGCACCCCTCTCGGAGGGAAGAGCGGCTTTGGGGCAACCTCGGCGCATGTGCCACAAGCTAGTGATCCGTGAGTCTCACGTCTGCTGTAAGCGCTGCACCCTGCTGCACGACCCAACGGTGGCAGGCTCTCAAGACACGGCACCGTCAACCAGGCAACTTGGGGACTCCTGGAGGACGGCTCAAGAGATTGTGGGACGGACGACAACCGACCACGGGTCGAAACTTCTAATGCAGCGCGGCCCGAGAGCTCGGAAAGGCCGGGTGACGGTGTCGCGCAACTCGGTTCGGACCCCATTGACGAAAAGCCCCTAGCGGCCATAGGGAAGGCCAACATGATCTTCAGTTGGGAGGAAGGGGTACGAGTTCCATACGTGGTTCTTTCAAGGTTCCCCGACGCCCCCTTCTCTGGGAATGGAGGGCAAAACTGGGCCTTCGGGTTGGGTTGGGGCGGTTTGGTGGGTGGTGAAGACTGCTGTCGATCTTCACCCATGCCCACCTCCATCCTCCAGAGACCACGAGACGCTGCCTCCCCTCCCTGGCAGGGGCCAGCGCCGCGGGCTCCTGCTCCAGGGCCTGGCGCGCCTGCTCCCGCTCCAGCTTCTCCTTCGGCGGCGCGCACAACAGAGGCTCCCACGAGGCCCCCGAGAGGCTCAAAAGAGGCTGCTGGAGGCCTCAAACAGCTCCCAAGAGGCCCACAAAAGTGCTGCCAGGAGAGCCCAGAGAAGCCCAAGAGCAGAGCGGCGATCCGCCAACCGCCCCCGACGAGATCCCAAGAAGCTGAAACCCCAAGATTCCCCACAAATCGTTCCGCTAACTCCGATTTTCAATCTTACTGCCGCCCCCAAGGGGCCGGCGGTGCGGCGTCAGCCAATCAATCAATCAATCAATCAATCAATCAATCAATCAATCAATCAATCAATCAATCAATCAATATATACATATATATATATCATACTCGTCATCATCATCAGCAGCACTATCTGCGTCATCAACATGAGCGTCATCATCATCAACAACAACAGCAGCATCAACATCAACAACAACAACAACAACAACAACAACAACAACAACAACAACAACAACAACAACAACAACAACAACAACAATTACTAGCACGTGGGGACACTCCGTTCTCACCAGTGCCAGGGTTTTCATAGGAGGCGGGCAATACCCCCACTTTGTGGGGGGGCCGGTTCAAGCTCTACCAAATTTCCAAACGACTCTTCGCCACCACCCACACCCAGCTTCCCGCCCTATGACGTTCGGACACTTCACTTCGTGGCATGCGGACGACCGTGGCTACTATTCAGGGCCCCGCGGCCGACGACGACGGCGTGCGCGCGCGAAGAAAAAACGAATGTGTCCCGCATGGTATTATTTGACAGGGATGATGGCCCTGGCAGGTGCGCAACCGTTGTTGCAGAAGTTCGAAAAAGTTGCTCGCAAAAGCCCGTTTGACAGAAATGTTTAAAAAGTGTTGGGTTTCCTACGAATCCGCAAGAGCGCGCGGGATGAAATTTTGACATTTTTTTGTTGAAAAACCATTGGTTTTTTGATGTTTTTATGTTAAAATCGCTACGAAAACTAAGGTTTTGGAAGGATTTCGTCTTGCGCGCGCGAATGTCCACTTTACCTTATTTTTTGCAAGGGATTCTTGAAGTTTGGTTATGTTAGAACAAGAAATGTCCACTTTAGCTTATTTTTGCAAGGGAAAACCGATCGTAACAACACAACCGGATCTGGACCACATCGTTTTGCCTGAGACTTCCTCACGAAAATGATGAAAATGAGGCTGCGGCCTAGGCGCGGCGGGGGGGCCATGCACCAGGGGTCCCAACAATAATTATTCTTTAGAAGTAATAATGTTCAACAACAACAACAACAACAACAACAACAACAACAACAGAAAAACAACAACAACAACAACAACAACAATCATTTTACCCGAACGCGTGGTGTTCTCCCCAGTGCCAGGGTTTTCATACGACACCAGGCAATACCCCCACTTCGTGGGGGGGCATTACAAGCTCTACCAAATATCCAAACGACTCTTCGCGACCACCCAAACCCAGCTTCCCGCCCTATGACGTTGGGACACTTCACTTCGTGGCGTGCGGACGACCGTGGCTACTACACTGGCGTGGGGTACACACCCACAGAACTTGGTCACTTATTCGGGGCGCGCATGTGCCCAGCATGGTGCAATTGTGCCATACAATACATAATACAGAGAGACGAATGTGTCCCGCATGGTATTATTTGACAGGGATGATGGCCCTGGCAGGTGCGCAACCGTTGTCGCAGAAGTTCGAAAAAGTTGCTCGCAAAAGCCCGTTTGACAGAAATGTTTAAAAAGTGTTGGGTTTCCTACGAATCCGCAAGAGCGCGCGGGATGAGATTTTGACATTTTTTTTTGTTGAAAAACCATTGGTTTTTTGATGTTTTTATGTTAAAATCGCTCCGAACACTAAGCTTTTGGAAGGATTTCGTCTTGCGCGCGCGAATGTCCACTTTACCTTATTTTTTGCAAGGGATTCTTGAAATTTGATTATATTAGAACAAGAAATGTCATTTTATAGTGTTTTTTGCAAGGGAAAACGGATTACAACAAAACAACCGGATCTTGATCAACTCGAATTACCTGAGGCTTCCTCACGAAAATGATGAAAACGTGGCTGCGGCCTAGGCGCGGCGGGGGGGGCGCGCACCAGGGGGCCCAACAATAATTATTCTTTAGAATTAATAATGTTCAACAACAACACCAACAACAACAACAACAGCAACAACAACAACAACAACAACGACGACGACGACGACGACGACGACGACGACGACGACAACAACAACAACAACAACATCTTAATCAGTGTCATCGTCACCACCATCATCATCATCATCTTCACCATCACCAGCATCACCATCATCACCACCACCATCAGCATCATCATCAGCATCATCATCATCATCATCAGCAGCATCATCAGCATCAGCATCATCATCAGTAATTTCCAGCATCATCATCATCATCGGCATCAGCATCGGCATCATCATCAGCATCATCATCATCCGTTTCCGAATCATCACCACCCTCCGCATCCAGCATCACCATCAAAACCACCATCATCACCACAACCACCATCATCATCATCATCATCATCACCATCAACAGCATCAGCATCAGTATAAGTTCATCCACCTCGTCCACCTCCTGCTCATCATCATCATCACCATCACCATCACCGTCACCATCACCATCACCATCACCATCATCATCATCATCATCATCATCATCATCACCATCATCATCATCATCATCAGCATCATCAGCATCAGCATCAGCATCAGCATCATCATCCTCCACCTCATCCTTCTCCTCGTCTTCCTCCTCCTCCTCGTCCTCATCCTCCTCCACAAAACAGTCATACCCATCCTCCTCGTCCTCGGCCCTCGCCTCAGGCGGAAGGCCCACCCCCCGGGGGCGGTGGCGACGCCGCCCGTCCTCGGCGCGCGCGCGCTCGCGCTCCTCGTCGAGCCTGCGCCTCTCCTCGGGCCAGCGGGTGCAGCAGGGGCGATGGGCACGAACTGAAGGGCGATGAGCAGCGGGACACGCACATGAATAGGCATAGATCCCAGGATTCCCCACATGTTCCCATATTTTCTTGGCTTTCGTTTTCCCCCCCACTTCCCATATTTTCCCATATCTTCCTGGGAATCGACAACTAATTGTGTCTGTGTGTAGCTTCCCCTCCTGATAATGGGGGTGGGGAGAAAGCTTCCCTTTTCGGCCCCAAAGGCCCCCTTTGGGTGCCCGAAAGGGCACCTTTAGGAGCCCTACAAGGCTCCTTTTCGGCAGACCTCGCTGCCCCCCATGAATCGCCTCCCCACTACGCGCCTCGAGGATCGAGAGCTCGAGGCCCCGGGGCTGCTCGGAGCTGTTAGGCTCGTCGGTGGGGGCCCCAGGGGCGCACCAAGGGCCCGGGCTGCCGTCCTGCTCGGCCTTTGCCTCGCGCGCGGCGCGCAGCGCCTCCTCGGCCTTGCGCTCCTCGGGGCGGGGGAGGGGGGGCCGGGGCGGGGCGGGGAAGGGGCAGCCGCAGGGTGGGGGGCGTTGGGAGGCCCAAAGCGGTGCGGTGACTGACCGTGCGGTCCGCCACCGGACGGTCCGCCACCGCACGGTGTCGGGAGCCTGGATGCACCAGTCGCCGCCCGAGACATCCGTGGGCAACGACCTGAATCGCAAATGACTCACCCCACGGTGTGGTCACCGCACCGTTCGGGGCTCCCCGAGCCTCGCTCGCGGACGCACCCATCCAGCTGATTCGGAGGGTGCCTTCGGAAAGGGGGGGTGGGGGGCGGCCCCCCCAGTGGGGGCGCACCAAGGCCGCGGCGAAGAGGCGAGGGAGGCAGGAAGAGGAGGGGGGCGGGGAAGGGCCGGCGGGGAGGGCGGGGTCGAGCTCCCAAGGGTCGCAGCGTTGGCTCGTGCGTTCCTGGGTGGAGGACGCCGAAAGGAGCAGGAGCAACGGCAGGAGGGGGGAGGGCAAAACATCAGCAGCACGAAGGGGGGGGGAGGAAAAGATCCAATGTTCCTCGCGAGATCTGAAGAAGGATGCCATGCTGGGCTGGGAAAGGTCGTTCGGGGGAAAAGTGCGGAAAGGGGCGACACCGCGTTGGGGCCGGGCGTTTGGGAGGCAAGCGAGAGTGGAGGGCGCGAAAGGGCGGAAGGCGCGATGGGCCACGGGAAGCAGGAAGGAAGTGCCGATAGAGGGCCCAGGTGGTAAAGAAAGGAAACCCAATAGAACATGGCTACATCCGCCACCGTGCCTTCCGCGCAACGAGGCGCGGAAGAATGCCGCGGCCTGTCTGGCAGGGTTTCAGCACTCTTATACAGGGCCCCCCGCCCCTACTAGCATCTCCCCACATGCATCGCCCTCCATCCAGAAGCCACGGTCCGTCGCTAGAAATGTAGAATCGCGCCCCCGAGGCCACGATCCTGTCCGCACTATCGTCGGGCATGCGAGCGGGAGGGAAGCGGGGGACATGAGAAAACTTGATCCAGCAACGCCAAAGAGACTCCGAATGGAGACCGGGCACCCCGCCGGCCACGGGCACTAGGCCTGAAAGGCTATGGGCAATTCCAAAGGGAAGGAGGGACGGGGGAAGGATACCGCAACGGGACTACTTGTCATGGAACTGCCATGGGCTCTAGGGGACTCTTCACTCCCGCTCCACCTCCTCCTCCCAGCTTAATCTGGCCTCGATGTCCGGGAAAAAAATGAGCGCCACGGAGGACAGGACCCGGCACGCCCGCGCCAGTACCAGCTCTTTAAAATGAGCTCTGAGGGATTGACCATCTTCGCCAATAAGAATCACGGCGCCTTTGCCTAAGAGGCCCTGACGCAGCATTCCCTTTGCTGGAGTCCGCTTTCGACAGACAGTCGGCCGCCATGCAGCCGCGGGGAACCCTGCAGACCCGGGCCGCAACGGCGGTAGAACTGTCTCCAACGACGACGAGCTCAATGGCATTCTCCAGCCGGCCCAGGATGCAGCGCTGTTCTTAGAGAGGGCAACAAATATTGACGTAGCATCGACCACTGACAGGGTACTTACTCCTTCGGAGGTTGGCGGCGGCGGCGGCGGCGCCTCCGCGCGCCGCGCCTCCTCTCTCAGGCGCTCCACCTCGCGCCGCACCTGAGCATCGTCTGGCCGATCTCTGTCCACGTTGGCATGGCCGTGGCCACACTGTCCGATTCACCCGTCCAGAGATAGGTTCGTGAGGCGTCAAGGTTTTTGACACCGCATCGATCGTTCAGCCTTGAGTCGATCGCGGCACCGATCGTTCACACTTGAATTCAATGGGGTCCAGTGACGTTTCCGTGTACATCGGTGCTTCCGCGTCGCAGAATTCAAGCGTGAACGCCTTCGCACCGGCGTCGCCGGCGCTCCAACGCCGCATGAACCTACCGTACATGCTGCTCCCTCGGGTCTCGCGGGGCCTATCCCCACCTGTGAAGGTGGGTGGGGCTGAGACACCATGGCACACTAGGAATTAGCCAGCCTCGGCCTCATCCTTATCCCTGGGACTGACAAGCCCAAAGCGGTGATAGGCGCCGGGATCTGTTTCGGACTGACCAGAGACGAAGATCGGTTAGACGATGCTGATCACTTCCTCTGTAGGAGCCGGGATATGTTTCAGGCTGTCAGGTGCAGTAGCGGTCAGCATTGACTCGACAAATCGGCACGGATCGGATCGTGCATCGAATCGGGCCGCAACGGCACGGAGTCGGAATCGAATCGAATCGGCCGCGCCCAGATGCACAACGGCGCTGAGCAAGCGTCGGGCCGCGTCGGATCGTCGGAGCATCGGAATATGGAATCGGATCGGGCCAGCTGGAATCAACCGCGACTCGAACCGAGCGGATCGAGATGAACCCCTAGGTAGGGAGCCCACAAAGGACGTACGCGCACAACTATGTACATGAACACGGCCCCTCAATTCGCGAGACCGGCCGCGTTATACGAACATTTGTGCAATGCGTGCTCTCGAAACCAGCGCGGATTCATGTACATGTACGTCCTTCTTTCGCTCCTGACTAGGGGTGGGGATCGGCTGTAGGGAACCCGCCCAACCACGTACATGAGCACCGCCCCCCAGTCCGCGAGACCAGCCGCGCGATGCGAACGCTGTCGCGATGATCCTGAGATTGGACGACGCCGAGCACCTCCTCCTGCCTGCGCAGCTCCTCGAGCCGCAGGCGTTCGGCCTCGAGGCTCTCGCGCTCCTGGGGGCATGTCGGCGGGGGGGGGTGGCCGCGGCGGCGGCCGCTCCGCTCCTCCTCGTCCCTCCCTCCTGCTGCCCTGGGTCCCTCCTCCTCGTCCCTCCCTCGTCCCTCCCTCCTCCTCCTCCTCGTCCCACTCAAGCAATTTGGGCCCAGGCATTCCAGGATTTGCCTGAGTCCAGGCCTCTGGGCTTCCGAGCAGCGCTTGAGGGACTGCACCCCAGAACCCGCCAGACTTCTAGGGTGCCGACAAACACAGAGGCAGCATGGCACGGCTGTGGTCGCGATGCACGAAGTGCAGCAAATGCGAGTGGAACGAGAGGCTCATCCAGCAGAAGAAGGTCTGCTCGGGGTGTGGCACAACAGTCGAGCTCTACGTGAGGACGAAGAAAGTATCCTTCCAGCGGGACACGCTCAACTCTGACGACGAGTTCGTGGACGCCTGGAGTGGTGATGAGGAGACCGAGGCAGGCGGACATCGCCAGCCCCTCCCCGCTGGCCCAGTGGGCATCCTCAGGGGGGGGCCTCGCTGCTCGTCACCAGGGGGCTACCGTGCTGGAGGCAAGGGAGGTAAAGGTGGTGCAGGGCAAGTTCGTCAGCTGCTTCAGCAAGCATGCGACGCCTCCCAGGACCCAGGACTCCAGCAGGTGCTGAAGTCCCAGATCGACCAGCTCGCCAAGGCGAGCACGGCCCCTGGCCCCAGGGAGACGCCAGTGGAGGCGCTCAGGAGGGTCGAGGGCATGGTGAAGAACGCCGAGCACATGCATGAGCAGGCGGTGAACAGCGTCTTTCGGCTCCGCGGCAACCTGGCCGCGGCGGAGCAGAAGGAGGCAGCGGCAGCGACGGCCTTAGCGGAGGCTCTCGCTGCGAGACGAGCGGCCACGGCTGCCCTGGCCAAGGCCGAGGGCATTGGCCCAGAGGACGACAAGTCGAAGCAGGACGGGAAGCTCTTCAGCATCGGTTGGGATGCCCAGTTCTTCGAGAACTTGGCCGACATGGAGTGCACCGATGGCGAGAAGACCGAGCTCGAGGGCATCCGCAAGCAGCTGGAGGAGGCAAAGGCGTCCCTGGAGAGCAAGGAGACCGAGATTCGCCGCTGGCTGGAGACGACGGCGAAGCACAAGGCGGCGATCCAGGAGAGGATGGCCAAGAAGCGCCGCGGCGATGAGGGACAGGCAGCGCCACCCGCGGAGGCCCCCGCTGGGGGCGGGGGTGGCGAGACCAAACCAGAGGCGGCGACGTCGACGGCAGGGCAGCCCAGTGCGGCGGAGGAGGACCCCGCGGCCAAGGCTGCCAAGGAAGAGACCATCAAGCAGGAGGCGCAGCGGCTGTCGGCGGCCAAGTTCGCGGCCAAGGCTGAGCAGGCCAAGGCGGTGGGCAAGGGCACGGCGGCGGCGACTGCGACAGCCGCTTGACGGTCCAGAACGGGGACCCCTCAGACCCTGACTGAGGGGCCGCCAGCGAATGATGACGAGACTACAATTTTTTACTCGAACATCACAGAGCTGACGGATAAAGCATGGAAATTCATTTCTCAGCGTGCACGCACATATAGTCATTGGGCCCTCGTCGAGACTCACGTTCAGCAGGAGTCCGAAGTACGAGAGTGGGATAAAAAAAGCTCGGCAATTGTTTTTGCGGATGGCGGTCAACCGTGCACGACCGTCAGGCAAGATTGTCAGTGCAGCCAGGCAGCGCCGTTCCAACGAGGGCGGTGAGATCTTTTTGTCACGGAATCATCTGCAATGTCATATTCTGCCAGAGGCGAGGACCTCCATGAGCCAGCTCAAGGCTGGCGTGCAGAACAGCTTCGACGGCTTTCTCCCGATGCTCATGCACCAGTCGGGGTTCTCTATTGTCATTGTTGTGTTATATCACTCCCAAGCATCGGAATGACGGGTCGGAACCGAGAACGCTTTCGCAGACTCGGAGGCTTGTTGAGGGCGATGAGCATCCCTTGGGCAGTGATTGGGGACTGGAACATGACTCCAGAGGCGCTGGTGCGGTCTAAGTTCGTGGAGAGAGCGGGTGGAGTTCTGCGCGTAGCTGATGTCACAGGCACATGTGCGCAGAAAAAAGGAGAACCAGATAGCATGATAGATTACCTAGTTATGAGTGAATCTGCGGTTCCACTCGTGCGAAGTTTAGAGCCTGTGCGTGATGTAGCCTGGAAGCCTCATATAGCGCTCGTTTTGCGTCTTTGGTCGTCGGGGCTTAAGCTGCAGACTAGGGCCCTCCGGGTCCCGTGTAAGCTACCGCAAGTTCCCCGACCGAGGACGGAGCCAACTGCTGGCTCCAAGGCCAGCAAAGCCAAGGCCAAAGCTTCCGTAGCTCGTGCTGCTGCTCACGAAAAGCGAGTAGCGGATTTCCAAGAACAATTCGGTGACTGTTTTGACCAGGCTGAGGGGTCGAGAGCTTTGGAGGGTGAAGGGGCCATCGAGGAGCCTCATGAGTTTTTCGAGCCTGATTTTTTGGGCCCCGAGGAGGAAGAAGATCCTTGGGCATCCGAGCTCAACTTCTGTAGTGATAATAACCTAGCTGATGCGTTCCAGTGTCAGCCCGTTGACGGGGGAAAGGCCCTACCCAGCGGTGTGCCCAGTGTGCCCATGTACGGCCGAGCCCCGATGGAAAAAGAGCCCCCCGTAGAGTCTGACAATTCGGTTACGTGTGAGGCCCAGCCCCCCTGCGTTGAGCCAGTCAGTACCCCCGTAGAGCAACAGCCGCATGACCGTAGTGCGCCTAACACTGTGAGGGACAATTTACTGGACTCTAGCCGTGGTGACACTACTTTGCCGCAGGATAATGCCAGCGAGGTCGCGTTTGAAATCCCTGTGGAGACTTGGATGGAAAGTCGGCACTCGGTTGGATTTTCTTCTGGCGCCGATGTGGTGCAGCAGGCCTCCCCCTTCCTCACCTCCTCTGTAGCCTTTCGACTCGAACCACGACAAAGCGTAGCCATCGCTGGCATGCACGCGTCGTGGGTTTCTGCTGTGGAGAAGGCTGTCCGTACACATCATGATATCCAGGTCGCCCCTGGGGTGCCGCGGGCATGCGGACCCAGGTTTTCCGTGCAGCCCATGCGTGCGGTCGCACACGCCAGGGCCCTCCCGCTCAGAGATCAACGTAGCCAATGGTGGACGAGAGTGCACACCCTCTTGCATGGAGTGGCCAGGCATCGTAGTCGTAACAACGGTGCTAAGCAGCTGCAGGACATGTATGAAGCGTGCCGCAAACTTCGTGAAGGCCGACCAGAGCGAGTCCATGGAGTACTTAACCTCGCTCGCGACCCACCTTGGGAGCAATGGCTGCAGGCATTACGTGACCCTGGTGGTATCAATATTGCTGTCTTGGAATCGTATGTGCATGCGGCCAAACGTATCATGGGCAGAGCTCAGCGGGCGGCTATGAAAGAATCCTTATCTGAATTTCAATCGTGGGTGGTCGAACCCACAGCGGCAGGGGTGCTGCACAAATCGCTGAGGCCTCAACCGTTGCCGACGATGGAGGTCTTTCGTGACGGGAGAGTGGTGCAGCACCCATCGGAAGTGATGAATATGAAAGCAGAGAAGTTCAAGCAATTGTGGGCCCCGTCAGTCCCACAGGTCTCGGAAGTGCGCGAGATCTTCAGGACCATCAGAGTTGCAGCAGACATGGAACCCTTGCCACCGATCCAGGCCGAGCAGATCTATGCCAGCGCCAAGGCCATGAAGGCTAAGGCGGGCATGGGCGTGGACATGCTGTCCCCAGTGGACTTCCAGCGGCTGCCAGTCCCAGCGATTGCGGAGCTGGCGGTCATCCTGCAGAGCATCGAGCATCTGCTGGTGTGGCCCGTGCAGACGATGATGGTGGTTGGCAAGCTGACCCCCAAAAAGGTGACGGGGGACAGGGCCATAGGCCTTGTCTCCATGCTGGGCAGGCTGTGGTCGCACGTTCGAGAGCCGATCGTGCGACAGTGGTCGGTGCAGGAGGAGCAGGCCTGGGACGCGGCGGTGGCAGGCAACTGGCGTCTGCAGGAGGCCTACCTCAGGGCCATCGACGAGGAACTGGCGGCATGGATGCAGCTCCAGTTCGGCCACAACCTCGTCGACGTGCAGGAGTTCTACGACACGATCCCCTGGGCACCGCTGGTCAAAGCGGCGCTCAAGTTGGGGTTTCCACCCACGGCGCTCTACCTGGAGTTGCTGCAGTGCGTCGTGGTCCGCGCGCTGGAGCAGGAGGGGGCTGCGTCCGACCCTTTCGAGCCGTGCCAATCGGTGGTGCAGGGCTTGAGGTCGGGCACAAGGTTTGCCAAAGTTCTCACGCACTTTGTTTTGAAAGTTGTGACGACTGCTACGCCGCAGATGGGACATCGAGTTTGGATCGATGATATATCCCAGCGTACAACGGGCTCGCGGCAGGCTGTTCGGCGCAATCTTACCAGAGCAGTTATCAAGACTGGACATGAATTGGCTAAAGTGGGACTAAAGATCGCAAAGAAATCAGTGGTGATGTGTACCACCTTGAGTGATGCACAAGCAGTTGTGAGAGCAGCTCGTTTGCAGGGCTTCCCTCTGAGCGTGGCCAAACAAGCAGCTTACCTTGGAGTGGACTTTAGTTGTGGTCGAAGAGGTCGGCAGACCCGAAGACAGCGAGATGATAAACACGCCAAGATGAGTGGGAAAGTCAAACGTTTCACGAGGGCTTCCAAGCAATATCATATTATGTCAAAAATTGAACGGGCTGGGGGACAAGCGGCAGGGACTTACGGACATCAAGTCCATGGGATATTTGGTCAACAGTTGTTGCAGTGCAGGCGTCGGTTAGGCCAAACGTGTGGGGCGGGCACCAAAGGCAGATGTCTTACTTCGTTGCTGGAGTTGAGGGCCCCTGAGGCCGACCCGACAGTGATGTACCCTGCCCAGTGTATCGATCAATGGCTAAAGTCCTGGCAAGCCCATCCCGATCTAAGGAAAAGCATTCGGTTTGTTTGGCCCAAAGTGTTGGCTGAGCTAAAAAGTCGGAGCCCAGGGGACCAAGTTCGTGCTGTGAAAGGACCGATATCGGCGACGATATTGAATTTGTTACGGCTGCAATGGGAACCCACCGAGGCGCATTCTTGGTCGTATATTTCACGTTCTGGTTCAGAAGAAGAGTGGCAGTTCCCAGATCATGTATACACTGGCAACCCGGCTTTGGATCACCATCGGCATCTTCTTAATGATATCAAAGATTCAGCAAGACGATTGAATTGGCAACAGGCGTCGAAACATTACTGTGGAGGAGGTTTAGAGCACGGAGCCGATATGGAATCGTATAGGGGGCTGATCAAAATGCTAAACAAATTGCCGCATGGGACGCAACTGGGGGAGCTTATGGTAAACATCTGTACTGGAGGTTTCTGGACCAAACAACGGAAGTGTGAACAGTTAACTAAGTACAAAGGGAATGATAAGTGTGATCGATGTAAAGATGCAGTTGAAACACCGTTTCACAGGTATTGGGGCTGTGACAGAAACGAGGGAGCTGTACCGTATGCACGTACTAGTGATATGGTTCCCCAAGCACACACACAATTCAATACTGCTGAGGCGTTCTGGCTGCGCGGTATGATACCATATGAATGGACCCAAGTACCCCGACCTACTCAGACCGAAGACTGGGAAACCACTGGGCTCAATGGGCTCGAGGAGGGATGTCTAGGGCCAGGTTGTGCCGTGGATCCTGTTCTTATCTTTGGAGATGCTTCAGGAGGAGCTGAGTCGTCTTCGAATAAGTTGCGTCGCGTTGGAGTTGCTATTGTATGCCTGACGGCTATCCTTCCCCAGGTTGAGATCCGTGCGACCGTGTCAGGACCGCTCGCGGGGGACAGACAGGTGGTGGCCCGAGGAGAATTACTTGCCCTGTATCTAGCTTTGTGGTGCGGATCTGACTTTGTCACATTTGTGACGGACTGTGAACTGGTTGCGAAAGCGTGGTATGACGGTAGGTACGTGTCCCCAGATGGGGAGGACGCAGACATATGGAATAAGATTGGCGAGCTGATGAGCACCCGTGCTGTGGGACATGTGGTCGTCTTGTGGACACACTCCCATATGAATGCTAGGGACATCGTTGATGGCACATGTTTTCGGAGCCTTGCCATTGGAAACCTTATTGCGGATGAGTTTGCGGGGTACGCAGCCAACCGTGTACGTGTGCCAGAAAGTATTAGGACACGGGTGTTGTTGCACGAGCGCCGAGCGTATCTGATCAGAATGCGGTTGCTACGTGCCACGATGGACAGTATTGCAGCGACGACGGAAGCTGAGAAGGTGGCTAGACTGAGTAGGCCTGAGGCTCCCCCTCCGCCTCCTCCCCCTCCCCCCCTGCCTCCTCCTGCTGCTGCTGCTGTTGCGGCTCTCCTTTCGCCCCACTCTTTAGCGGACTGTAAGAGACGCTGTCTGAAGTGTTTCGGGTCTGCTACACATGCTACAGTAGGTGAAGGGATAGGGACTCCATGTCCGAGGTTATATAATGCTGATGGGGTCATTTTCTCTCCTCTCAAGGGGGATAGAATTCATATCGCGGGGGGCTGGGCACATAACACTCACACGTTGAATGTGCACAAGGGGCTTCAGGTGTGGTTCTGTACCCAATGTGGAGCTTTCGCAGATAAGGTTTTGCGATCGCTCAAGTCTCCCTGTTCGTATAAGCTGAATAAGACCAAGCGAGATTACCTTGACAGGATCAGAAGGGGGTTACAGCCCAAAGTCCTGAGCCAGGCAGAACAGACTGCCAGGCGTTCGAGGGCCGCTCCGAGTCGTGATGTGTAAGGGATTGGGATCTTGCTTCCGCAACGGCGTCCACTCCACTCCACTCCACTCCTCCTCGTCCCTCCTCCTCGTCCCTCCCCCCTCCTCCTCGTCCCTCTGATTTAGGGGGGGGCTTCCAGGCTTTGGACAACGCGGGGAGCACGGTGCTCCCGACCTGCGCACGCCGATCCGCACCTCTGTGCAGCTTGGGCTCGTGCTGGGAGGTCACACGGTGAGCGACGGAGCGACCGGCCTCCTGCTCCTCCTGCTCAGCTCCTCCTGCGCAGCTCATCCTGCGCTTCCCCCTTCCCCTCCTCCCCCGCCCCCGCTCGAGCCAGAGGAGGACCCTCCACCTGGAATCGGCGATGCCTCGCCGACGGATCGGCGGCTGGCCCCCACGGCAGATGCGCGCTCTCCTGTGCGGGCGTGGCAAACGGGCCCACATCGGCGATGAATGGGCGATCGGGGTTCGATGCATCCCCCTTGAGCCTATCCCCCCCTCACGTTGCCCCCATGATGCCGAGGGAGGCCATAACCTCGTCTCCGCGACGAGCCCAGGGGGGGGGGGGGCAAGTACGAGCGGGCGGGCCTTCTCAGGAAGCGGAGGCGCTTCTCAGAAGCCCTCGCGCCCTCCGAGAAAGTCCTGCGCCCTCGGGGAAGGCTCCGAGAACTCCTCGGAAGGCTTGAGGCCCTCCGAGCCGTCCGAGAAGGCCCGCCCCGCGTGCTCTGCCCCCACGGGGGCCCGCCGCCGCTCCACCTGGAGGAGCCCGCCCGATGGGCCGCAAGGCGGGGGCGACTGCCAGGGCCGATCGGAGGGGCGCGGCGGCGGGGAGGGGGGCAGGAGGCGGGGCGAGGGCTCCGAGGCGAGCCCAGGCGGTGGCGGCGAGGGCCTGCCAGGAGGCCCCCGGGAGGGGGGAGAAGCGAGGCCGGGGCAGAGCGGTGGCGGCACCTCTCTGCCTCCCCAGGAGGCTCGGCGTCTGCAGCCGAGTCCTCGCGCGCGGAGAGCGGCTGGCCTTCAGTCGGGCGTGCCCCCCACAGGCGGATTTTTGGACGAAAACTGAGCGGTAGTCAAAAAATGCTCCAAAAATACTCCCGAATCATCAAAACATCGCCCCCGTCCCATTTTCGGACTGTTCTTGGATCACACTCCGCCCGTCGAGGGCCACGCCCGATCTTCAAGGCTCGGCGTTTGCCGCCGAGGTCTTGGGCGCCCGAGTCATCCGGGGTAACTCGGGTCCGGGGTAACTCGGGCTTGGATTCCCGAAAAAGGAACCCGAGTTACCCCTGACCCGAGTTACCCCTGATGATTCGGGGCTCTGGGCGCCCGAGTTATCCGGGGTAACTCGGGTCCGGGGTAACTCGGGCTTGGATCCCCGAAAAACGAACCCGAGTTACCCCTGACCCGAGTTACCCCTGATGATTCGGGGCTCCGAAGGTCCTCGCGCGCGGAGGGCCGCTGGCCCGCGGAGTGCTCGCCGCTCGCCGGCGGCGCCCACGCGGACGGCGCCGGGCCGTCGTCCCGCGCGGCGGCCTCTGCGGGCGGGGGCGGGGCGCCCCGAGGGAGCCTCGGCTACCCCGCGGGTTCTCCCGAGGCCCTGGGGAGGCCAGATCTCGGCGGCGAGCCCCAGGGTTAGGTCGGGCATGTCCTCCTACAAGGGGATTTGTTGGGCGATATATATATATATATGTATGTATACATGTATATGTATATATACATGTGTATAAATATATACATGTATTTAAATATATGGGTATTTAATATGTATGTATGTATGTATGTATGTATGTATGTATGTATGTATGTATGTATGTATGTATGTATGTATGTATGTATGTATGTATGTATGTATGTATCTGTATATATATACAGGGAGGTTTTTAATATCAAAAATGCTTGAAGTAAGGAATTTGAAATTCTAGGTTGTCAAAAGGAAGACTTGACGCGGCTGCAAAGCGATAAATCTGGAGGAATGCTCCGGGAATGCTTCCGGAAATATCTGAGGGAGGACGATATGGCGGAAGATCTGGCGGAAGATCTGGCGAAAGATCTGACGGAACATCTGAAGGATAAATCTGGCGGGGGACCTATCGGAAGATCTGGCGGAAGATCTTGAGGAAGATCTGGCGGAAAATCTGGCGGAAAATCTTGCGGAAAATCTGGCGGAATATCTCGCGGAGGATCTGGAAGAATATCTGGCGGAAAATCTGGCGGAAGATCTCGCGGAACATCTAGCGGAAGATCTGCCGGAAGATCTGGCGGAAGATCTGGCGGAAGATCTGGCGGAAGATCTGGAGGATGAAACTGGCGGAAGATCTGGCGGAAGATGTGGAATATAACTCTGGAGAAAGATCTGGAGGAAAATCTGCTGGAAGATCTCGCGGAAGATCTAGCGGAAGATCTGGCGGAAGATCTCGCGTAAGATCTGGAGAACGATTTGGCGGAATATCTGGAGGAAGATCTGGTGGAAGATCTGGCGAAAAATCCCGCGGAAAATCTAGCGGAAGATCTGCCAGAAGACCTGGCGGAAGAGCTTGAGGAAGATCTGGCGGGAGATCTGGGGGAAGGTCAGGCGGAAGATCTGGAAAATAGAGCTGGCGGAGAATATAACGGAAGATCTGGCGGAAGATCTGGAGTGCAAATCTGCCTGAAGATCTGGCGGAAAATCTGGCGGAAGATCTGGCGGAAGATCTGGCGGAAGATCTGACAAAAGATCTGGCCAAATCCCACCAGCCCTTTGGGCGTGAGTGGTTTAGGGAGCTCTCTCTGTTCTCAACCCCCCTTCTTCCCCTTCGGGGAGGGGTTTACCCCTCCCCCTACCCCCTCCCCCTGGGCCTGGAGAGGTCCTTCCGCGGGGGGTCAGAGGGGTCGTTTTCGACTCCTGGGAGGGCTAAAAAACGACATCCCTCACGAGGATTCTGGCCCCGACGGGGGGAGGGAGAAAAAATGCTCCCCTCTTCTTTGAAGCCAGAATCATTGATTTTACTACGGTTTTGGCCCCATTTTGGCTTTCTGGGGGGGCAGCGCTAATTAAAGCTCCCCTCTTCTTTCAAGCCAAAATCATTGATTTTACGAAGGTGTTGGCCCCATTTTGCCCTTCTGAAGGGGGCAGCGCTAATTAAAGCTCCCCTCTTCTTTGATCGATTTCCTCCAAGATGGCCCCAAGAAGCGCCCAGGAGGCACCAAGAGGCCCCAAGATGGCCCCAAGAGGCCCCCAGGAGGCCCCCAAGAGGCCTCCAAGAGGCCCCCAAGATGCCCCCAAGAGGCCCCAAGAGGCTCCCCCGAGGCACCCAAGACGCTCCTGGAAGCCCCTGGGGCCGCCAAGAGGCCCCCAAGACGCCCCAAACGGCCTCCAAGAGGCTCCCAAGAGGCCCGAAGAGGCTCCCCCAAGGCACCCAAGACGCTCCTAGAAGCCCCTGGGGCCGCCAAGAGGCCCCCAAGACGCCCCAAAAGGGGACGAGGTGCCCGAACGCCTCACGCCACGAGGAGCCCGAACGACTCACACCAGGACGAGGGGCCCGAACGACTCACACCACGAAGAGCCCGAACGACTCACACCAGAAGGAGGGGCCCGAACGACTCACACCAGGACGAGGCGCCCGAACGACTCACACCACGAGGAGCCCGAACGACTCACACCACGACGAGGGCCCCGAACGACTCACACCACGAGGAGCCCGAACGAGTCACACCAGGAGGAGGGGCCCGAACGACTCACACCAGGACGAGGGGCCCGAACAACTCACACCACGAGAAGCCCGAACGACTCACACCAGGACGAAGAGCCCGAACGACTCACACCACGAAGAGCCCGAACGACTCACACCAGGAAGAAGGGCCCGAACGACTCACACCAGGACGAGAAACCCCAAACGACTCAAACCACGAGGAGCGCTTTCTCTCCCTCCTCCTCCGCCTCGTCCTTCTCCCGCTCCCACCACAAGGAGGATGTACAAGGAGGCGGGAGGAAGGAGGAACAGGGGAGATATGCGGGGGCAGGCGGAAACACGCCTGAAAAACACGACTGTCGGCATGCTTCGCAAGAGTTGCTGTTTTGAGATGGGCTGGTGGGGATACGCGAAGCGTAAAGAATTCACATTCCAAATCTTCCGCCAGATCTTCCGCCAAATGTATCCTCCAAAGATTCCGTCAAATCTTCCTCCAAATCTTCCGCCCAATCTTCCGCCAAATTTATCCTCCAAATCTCCCGCGAGATCTTCCGCCAAATCTTCCACCAAATCTCCCGCCAAATCTTCCGCCAAATCTTCCGCTTTATGTATCTTCCGCCAGATTGATCCTCCAAATCTCCCGCGAGATCTTCCCGCAAATCTTCTGCCAAATGTTCCGCCAAATCATCCGCCAAATCATCCGGCAGATATTCCTCCCAATCTTCCGCCATATCTTCCTCCCAATCTTCCGCCAAATTTATCTTCCAGATTTTCCGCCTGATCTTCCGCCAGATCTTCCGTCAGATCTTTCGCCAGATCTTCCGCCAGATCTTTCCCAAGATCTTCCTCCCTCAGATTTTCCCGCAGATCTTCCCCTAAACATTTCCCCAAACATTTCCTCCGCCAGGGGGAGGAGGAGGAGGAGGAGGAGGAGGAGGAGGAGGAGGAGGAGGAGGAGGAGGAGGAGGGGGAGGAGGAGGGGGAGAAGGAGGAGAAGGGAGAGGAGCAGGAAGAGGAGGTGGGGGAAGATAGCCGTGACCATTGTTCTGACTAGGTTTTCGACTATCACTCGCGCGATGACGGCAGGGCATGAAACAAAATAAGGAATTTTTCAAATATGATTCTAGAGTAGGTCCGCGAGACTGAAGCCGGGCATGTTTGTCTGGATTTTATGGAACAGAAAAATGACAGAAAAATCGTCCCTGGACGAGTTTCTGGCTCCTTTTGAAGGCTCCCCCCCCGTGGAGGGACGTGCCCGACTTGGCCCCGGGGAAGGGACGGCGAGAGGGGCCGGGCCCTCGCAGGAGGCTCGAGACGAGAAGTGCCCCCCGGCCCTGGACGCGAAGGCACCCAAAAAGTGCTCGGGTGCCCTCCCTCTGGAGGCACGGAGGCCGCCTCACAGAGGCCGGAGGAGGGCTTCTCGGGAGAGCCCCGCCGCCCTCTCCTGGCGGCGCGCACCAGGGGGTGGAGGGGGGAGGGCTTCTCAGAGGCAGGCTGCTTCTCAGAAGGCGCCGGCCTTGCGTCTGCAGAGAAGGCCCGCGCCTTCGAAGAGGCAGGAGTGGTTCTCAGAGGCCCTCCCCCTCTGCGCGCGGCTGGTTCTCAGGAACCACGCCGCCTCAAGAACCCCCCCAAAAAAACACGTAGCCATGAACTGTTGGCGCTCCGCGCGGATTTCTCGGATCGGCGCTGGGCCCCCCTCCCCTGGCGCGCGGCGCTGGAGGCGCCGCCGGGGGGCCCAGGCGCGGATCCAAGAAATCTGCGAAGCGCCAAAAGTTTATGTTTGTGTGTTTTTGTTCTTCTCCGACTTCTGAGAAGGCCTGCCCCTTCTCACTTCTCCCCCTTGCTCGAGGGGCAACACAAGAACGAGAGACTGGCACAGGGAGGGGTGCATCGACCTGGGTTCGGCGAAGCATCGTCGATGGAGATCGGCGACTGGCCTCCGACAACGAAGCCGCCTCTTCCTGGGCGGGTTGGGGCTGTCGGGCCCCTTCTCGGCGATCAGTAGGCGACTGGGGGTCGATGCCTCACCCCTTTTCCCTGTGTTATCCCCCCCCTGTCGTTGCCCTTTTATAGCTTTGTGACCACCACCCAGCTGTAAAAACCGGGGCGGGAGGATTTTGGTGGCTTGAATGGCTCTGGGTGCCCTCGCCTTCCCGGGAACCCGCACTCACAGAAAAACAGGACATCGCATGTCTGGGCAACAAAACTTCTCACTCTGCGTTTGGCGCCAAGCGTCGGGGACTCCCTTCCCACCCCCCGACTGGGATTAACGAAAACCTGTTCGCGCTCGTGGGCCAGGGCTCGCCGTCGAAAATAAGAGAACGAACAATGACATAAACATAAAAACTCGGAGGTCCGCGCGGATCTCTCGCATCGGCGTTGGACCCCCCCTCCCTGGCGCGCGGAGCGCGCCAGAGGCGGCGCCAGGGGCGCCGCCAGGGGGGTCCAGCGCCGGTCCGAGAAATCCGCGCGGACCTCCGAGTTGTTATGCTTATGCCAGCGTTCGTCTCCCGAGAAAAGCAGCCAGCGCCCGGCCAGGATCGGCGCGTGCAGTGCTTCGTGGGCCCTGGAAACGACAGGAGCCGTTTTTGTTACCGGTTCCGATTTGCCGTTTTTTGTGCCGGTTCCGATGCCGTTTTGTTACAGGCTCCGTCGCCGTTCTTGTTACCGGCTCCGGCCCCAGCTCCGATCCTGGAGCTTGTGTTGTTGCCGATTCTCCGGTCGCCCTTTTTGTTGCCCCTCTCCATCTTCGAAGGACACGTTTGCGGAAACGGTGACAACACGGCCCTGCCGTTTCCGGGGCCCACTCAGGTTCGGGCGTTGGCAGAACTGGGTTCAGTGGAACCTGGCTTGGTGATCTGTACC